TGCGGAGGAATTTGGGTCGCAATAAATTCTTGGGGGAATTTGGGTCGCAATAAATTCTTGGGGGAATTTGGGTCGCTGGGAGGGACCGAGGGAAGACCTGGGCGAAGAACACGGAGGTCCCTCGAAAAGATCGGGGGTCACCCTGAGCGACGGGGGTGGGGGGAAGTGCGCAGGGGAGCTGCAGGGCGACGGCGGGAGCGGGAAGCGCGTTTCGTTCCGAAACCCAAGCCCAACCAGTTCCGGCTGTGACGGATCGGTGCATTGGGATCGGTTAAGGTTTTGGCAAAAGTCCAAACATGCGCTTCATCTAAGCAGAATAGTGAATGTGTGTGAAGTAGCGGTTTTTATGTGCAAAATGGAGCAAATAAAACAATGCCAAGCCAAGTCCACGGGTATACAGTTATCACATGGTCATCTGTACAATCGTATTGCTCCGACAATGCATGTACCTACCAACATAAATCATACTGCCCATGCAAACTACACAGTATCCCACAATGCAATGTGCGCCTTCATTGAGCTGATGGTGCTAGGGACATCGCTCGAAACTGATTCACACTCTTCGCCCCAGCTTCAAGCTCTTGCTTCTCCCTCTTGCTGTCCCATCCATGCTCCTTGGCCAATAGCTTGATGACACGTGGCAAGGCATGAATGGCAGCATCGGCATCAAGGAAGGCGATGCGTGATCGACGGCACAGGAAATCTGCAGCAGTTTCACAGAACTCGTTCCTCGCAGCAAAGACCACTTCAGCCTCGATGTCTGGGAACCCTGGGGCGAGGCGCTCTGCCAGAAGCTCAGTCTGAAGAGGAGGGGAAGAGATAAGTGGAGAGGAAAGCAAAGATAGGTTTTAGGTGAATGGATAGACCCAATATGGATAACCATGCGTAGCCTTGTATCACAACAATCCATAACAAACCCTCGTGTCCATATAGGCTGGATCTGTCTGGCTTTCAACCAGCCCGCGAGACATAACCCAGCACCATAAGCACTTACAGTCGCAATCTCCTTCACTTTGCTCGCATTTGACCCATAAGACCGCACCAGGTGGTACACCACCGCAGAATCTAGCCGGTACGGGAGGATCCGACGATCAGGAGCCACCCGCAGCACATTGGCGTTCTGGGCGAGCTGGGAGAAGAGGGCGGGGGAAAAGCCAGCTGCGCCTGTAAGGGGCAGGTGCTCTGTGACGCTGGGGGCAGGGCGAGGGTGCTGCTGCTGCTTGTAGAGGCTGAGGGTGTGGATGGGTTGGTGGTAATCGGTGCTGTGAGGTTGCCAACCCGAATGGCTGTGTTGACTGTGTCCTCTGCCATGCTGGGAGGTGAGAGAAAGGGGGAGGGAGTGGGAAAGAGAGGGGAAGAGGGGGGAGGGGAGGGCCATAGAGAAGAAATATTAGAAATGTGAAGTTGTCAGGCATGATAGTGAGAGGAGGCAGACAAGAGGAGAGGGCTGGAATACGTGCTATATTAGCAGCAAACCAGCAATGATGGTCCACTTGCTCCCTGTGACTGTAACAAGGAAGGATTTAGTCAATCATGTAAGCAGCTACTAGGGTGCACACTCACCTCCTGTAAGTGGTCCACTTGCCGCCAGTGACTGTAACCAGCGTGCCCCTTCCACCATCACTGTATGTTCACGGACCACATTCGATGTATCTGCCTTGGTCCCTTCCGTCTGCTGCCCCCCCTCTGTCTTAACTGCTTCCGCCTTTCCTGCTGCAGCCTCGCCTCCCTCGGGTTTACCCTCCTCTTGTGTGGGTGTCTTTGATTTGAGCCCTTTCCGCAGGAGAGGGCGGAGCCCGCCCCAGACTGACAGAACATCGTCCTTGCGAACCTGCAAATGGCATGGTTGGCAGCCAGAGAAACACACAAGATATAATCGGAGTGAAAGAGTTGTAATCTGGCACGTGCTCACGGCTTGGCAGGAGAGGCCAAAGCCCGCCCAGAATGATAGAGCCTCGTCCTTGCGTACCTGCAAATGGCATGATAACCGGTTCACAGAATTACGAAAGCAGGGGATAAAGCAGAGAATGTGGATTGGTTGGTCTACCTTAATCTCCATCCACTTCCGAATAAATGCTTCACCATACACTTGGACGCATACAGACATCACACCCAATGCTAGACTCACATCACACCCAATGCTATACTCACATCACACCCAGTGCTATACTCACATCACACCCAATGTTATACTCGCATCACACCCAATGCTATACTCACATCACACCCAATGCTATACTCGCATCACACCCAATGCTATACTCACATCACACCCAATGCTACCCAATGCTATACTCACATCACACCCAATTCTATAATCACATCACATGCAACACCTCGTCCTCGGTATACTCACCTCCACATCCAAGTAGTTGCTGAGCGTGTCGACGATAAACTGAACCTCCTTTTCTGTCGGCACCGGCACATCCACCACATCTGAAGGCGAGTCAGTCGTTCCAGCCACCACCCGCCCCAACCATGGCAGCATGAACATCACCCTTCCATCTGCAGTCTTCGGTATAAGCAGACCCACGTTTCCACCGCCGCCGCCGCTGCCACTGGCTGTGCCTGCCCCAGCGCCTGAGGTGCTCCCAGAGGCGGCTCCCAGGTAGAAGTCGGGGAGAACGACGTGGGAGCCGGAGGAAGCGAGGACTGCTAGCGGGGTGTTGGGGTCGGCCATACGGCGAATGCTGTATGGGGTGGGTGGGTGAGGGGGTGCGGTGCGGGGGGGTGTGAGCCTGAGGTGCTGCCAGAGGCAGTTCCCGGATAGAGGTTTAGAAGGGCGGCTTGGGAACCAGAGGAAGCGAGGACTGCTAGAGGAGTGTTGGTGTCGGCCATAGGGCGAATGCTGTATGGGGTGGGTGGGTGGGTGAGTGGGTGGGGGGGGTGAGGCTCCATATTGTGCGCCTGAGATGCAGCCAGAGGCGGCTGCCATCTCAAAGTCTAGCAGAACCACGTGCGAACTGGAGGACGCGAGGGGGGGATTGGGGAGTGTTGGGGTTGGCCATGCTGCGAATGATGTATGGGGGTTAGGGGGGTCAGGGTATAGGGTTTTTGGTTATGAGCCTGAGGTGCTGCCAGAGGAAGTTCCCGGGTAGAAGTCTGGAAGGGCGACATGTGATCCGGTGGAAGCTAGGACTGCCAGGAGCGTGCTGTGGTCTGCCACGTGGCAAATGCTGGGGGGAGAAAGAAATGAGGAGGGATTGAAGAGGCGTGAGGGGAAACGGTGTGTTAATGAACTTCGTTGTGAGACGTCTCAAAACGAGATTAACAGGCTGGGGGAAGAAAGAAATGACGAGGAATGGAGGAGGCGCGAGGGGAAACAGTCAACGTCACGGTGCATCTCAGAAAGAAACACACTCCCCATGAGCTAAGGTGCATGCGGTGTGTGAGTCACCGCATCTTGCCCGTATAACTGCCCCAATCCATCTGGATGCACAGCCCCCAGACACATTCATGCGTCTGAATTCATATGCTTTTGAGTCGACTCAAAACCAAATCCACCTGGATGCACAAACCCCAGACACCTTCATGCGTCTGAATCCGTCTGACTGCGTCATCTCAGCTATGAGCACCGAGCCAAGAGCTCATTCAAACTAGTACTCGAAAGTGACAGTCCATTAAAATCCCGTTATGTAGATCCCGTTTCTGATGTGCGCATTTCACTTCTTCCATTATGCTCCAGTATGCCTCTCACTATGCCCCTTTTTCCACCCTCAAGTTTCTCCTCCTCAAATTCCTCCCTATGTTCCTCACTTACTCGCACGCACTACCTCTCGTTTCATCCCCTCGCCTTCCCGCTCTCACCTGTCGCAGTATGCCCCAGTTTTTTTAGGCGCCTCAAAAATAGACCTCTCACCTGTCGCAGTATGCCCCAGTTGCGTTCACCACCACTTTCGCCCGCACATCCACCTTCTTCCCCGTCAGCTCGTCCGTCACCACTGCTCCTTCCACTCTCCCAATCGGATCCGTCTTTAACCCGGACACACTAGCATGGTTCAGCACAACCGCGCCTGCACGTGCTGCCGTGGTGGCGAGAGCGAGGTTGAGGCGAGCGTCGTCCATTTGCCCGTCGTAGTACAGCACTCCGCTTTCAGTGTGCGACCATCTGGGGAGGAGGAAGAGAGGGGAGTATTGGCCTTCTTTGAGGTGGCCGCAGAGGCGAAGCCTGCCGAGCGCCGTCCATATGTTAATCGTAGTACAGCACTCCTGCCTTCAGAGTGCGAACATCTGGGGAGGAGAGGCGAGAATGGCAGCTGGAAGGCATGGAGTATCTAGTCAGACAAAATAGGAAAGGAAAGTAGAGAGGGGAAGGAACCTCCTGCTGGATGACGCAGTGTCCAAAATATCCTACCAGTGCAGTACCAAGGACCAAGTTACCATCCGCTCCACTCACCTCGTGTCTTGTGTGAAAGAGTCGGAACCATCCCGGATGCCTCTGCTGCAGTCACCACCCGGGACATGTACAGCACCTTCTTCCCCGCTATAAGATCATACGCTTTAAGCCCGGCCCAGTAGTAGGGCACCTCCCACCAGTGGTAGCACGGCGTGAGCGTGGGCAACGGCCAGACCAGGTGCGGGGCGTTGCGGATGAGAGTGCCTCGTTCCGCCAGGGCTTCGTTCACGAGGCGCAGCTGCGCGAGATCCCTGCGAAGAAAAGGCCTTCTCGAGGTACCGAACGCCTGAGGCGACGAGGAGAATGGGGAGATCCAGAAGGCAAGGAAGGAAATATGTTGCTACGAGCAAAGCGAGCTGAATTCACCAAAAACAGAAGCCCTGGAGCTCTCAGAAAGGGCTTTGAGGGAGACTGACCGCCGTGAATGAGCTTGGTGCTTCTAGAGGATGTTCCACAGCTGAAGTCGTCTCGCTCCACCATCGCCACGTGGAGACCGCGTGTAGCAGCGTCTAACGCCACGCCGGCACCAGTAGCGCCGCCTCCTATAACGAGGATGTCGAATGGCCGCGCAGAGCTGCTGCCAGCGAGAGCTGACATCTGAACCTTCCTCGAAGGCACCTCGTCGGAAAGCTCTGGAGAAGAGGAAAGAAATGAAAACGGCATCAGCTCAAGGCTCACGACTTTTGTCAAAATCACTCAGGAAAACGCGCGAAAACCAGAAAGTATAAAAGCCTATGGAGACGCATAAATCCTGCCTCTCAAACGCGTTAGCGAACCGGACACTGATCGTACGACGCGTGCGAGAAAAGGCACAATGATTTTACGGCGAAAGCACACGTACTGGGAAGGTTTTTGGGAGGGTCGGCATGACCGGTGGAGTGGATGTACGCCGCGAGAGCAGCGGCTGCACCCGCTCCTCCGAACAACACCACCTTAGACAACAACCGACTCGTTGTGCGAATGCTCATTCTGGGCGATCGGGTGTGACAAGCTAGGTCTGGCCTGGGTGTTCCGCAGTGCTATTCGTCAATAATCTAGCTGCACGCAATCATTGAATGTTCCTGATGTGATTCCGTGGCCCTACTTCTAGATTCAGAATGACAAGAACCGCGGCACCAGACCTCGTGGGCAATTGCAATGTCGCAGGGTTTCAAAATCTACTTCAATTGACGCAATCTACTAAAACGGCGCTAGGCAGTCCGCTTTCAATAAATCGGCTGATCAGGAGAGTAACGGAAGGAAAGATACCAGAGACAAGAGGAATGAGAGTGTCCTGAAGAATAATCTGAATCCGAAAGGTACTAATGCCTGAACAATGAAAAGAATGGTGGAATGAGAGGAATATGGGATGGGATGCTTTCAGTGACCTCGAGATTGGTGTGATGCCTTCCAAGGCTCGAATTCCCCCAGGCCGAAACGGCCAGTGAATTTCATGCAGGCCAAACCGTGGAGGAACAGATCCCGAGGGGAGACCTCCCTTGCCAAGCGCTGCTGGACGAGAGGAGTCAGCAATGGCCCAAGACACGTCAGCTCTGACCTAACAGCCAGCTCGCGAAAACGGTCGCATGATAAGGTAACCCTTCTCGCAACGACACGTCTGACAGTTATTGGTTCCACGTGCTCAGGGAATGACGATGGAGGGCCAGTAGGTGGGGCCAAGCAGCGCGGGAATGTCAGAAATCCACGGTGCGGTGACGTGGCGTAAGACCCGCTGTCCCCAACTTATAAGTATTCGCCAAGGTACGTGTACACTCCGTGTACAAGTCCGAGTTTCTTGATTTCGAAATTGGGAACATCTTCAATATAAAATTGTTCTAGGAGGTCCAACAAGTCTAGCTTGCTTGGACATCTCGGCCAAATGCCAGTCTTCTATATACCACTCCGGGCTGCTATTAGAAGGGAACACCTTATCACACATCTTTATATCGCCTCGAAGTAGCCCCTGCATGCAAGACACACATGTGGACAGGGTCGGGATGACATGAAGTTACATCTATTATGAAAGGCAAGACAGCAGAAAAAAAGAGCACATTTGATTTTCAGCTTACCTGAAAGTGGTTCAGTAGATGGCCAGTTGATGCATTCAGGTCTACACCATTATCCACTGGCTCTATTGTTCGATGCACCTGCAAAAGGTATACAAGGACGAGTAAGGTGACTCTTAGAGGCACAAGGGAAAATAAAACGAGTGGAACAAAAGACACTTGCCATTATCCACTGGCTCGAGCAAAAATTAGAGTGGAAGGAACGCCACTTGCCTGCATGGCCTTGACGAGCTGTGTATTGGCGATTACTTTCCGGTGCCCGAAGTAATTAATGCATCTAGCCTCCTCGTGCCCCGCATCCTTGGGCCCTATGCAGTAGATGTGTGGCCAGTGGAAGGGCAACCGCTCGAGATAGAAGTGCTCCGATGGAGGCTGGGGGCTGAGAAAAGAGAGGGGCGAGGTAGAGGTAGAGGTTGAGGAGATGGGAACGAAGGGGATGTTTTTTTTTTTAATTCTTGGAATTTCTCTCATAAAAGTGCTCCAATGGAGGCTGAGGGCTGTGCAGAGGGGGACGTAGAGTTAGAGGTTGGGGAAATGGGGAAGGAGGGGATGGCAGGGGTGGGGTGGGGTGGGGTGGGGTGGGGAGGGGATGGGGAGAAAGGAAAAATGTGTGTGGTGCGCCGTTGAGGCTGCACCACATAACGCAGCAGCACAGCAATTCTCATGACATACTGGAAGTGATAAATGAACCACCAGACACTGCCGAAGGTGAAGTGGGGGCATCAATTTGCACACATTGGCACACTGTTAGGATTCTAACACGCACACACATTGGCACACTGTTAGCATTCTAACACGCACACACATTGGCACACTGTTAGCATTCTAACACGCACGCACACACATTGGCACACTGTTAGCATTCTAACACGCACACACATTGGCACACTGTTAGCATTCTAACACGCACACACATTGGCACACTGTTAGCATTCTAACACGCACACACATTGGCACACTGTTAGCATTCTAACACGCACACACATTGGCACACTGTTAGCATTCTAACACGCACACACATTGGCACACTGTTAGCATTCTAACACGCACACACATTGGCACACTGTTAGCATTCTACACGCACACATTGGCACACTGTTAGCATTCTAACACGCCACACACATTGGCACACTGTTAGCATTCTAACACGCACACACATTGGCACACTGTTAGCATTCTAACACGCACACACATTGGCACACTGTTAGCATTCTAACACGCACACACATTGGCACACTGTTAGCATTCTAACACGCACTCACATTGGCACACAGTTAGCATTCTAAAACGCACACACATTGGCACACAGTTAGCCTTCCACCATGAATGCTCATTGCTGCACCCCACGTCAACACCCATCACCTACCGGCAGTGCTCAGTGGACCATCAGAGGCTGCCGAAGATGACGTAGGGAGCATCAGGGTGCTTGTCCAACAGCCCTCGAAGGGTTTGGGGCGCCGGGACGCAGAAAAATCATTGTGCATCAGTGTGCTCCTTCCAGTGAGTTAGCAACGTACCGGCAGTGCTCGATTGACCACCACAGGCTGCCGAAGGTGAAATAGGGCGCATCGGGGTGCTCGCCCAAAAGCCCTCGAAGGGTTTGGGGCGGCTGGATGTAAAGAAACTCGTCGAAGTCGGCAAACAGCAGCCACCTGGTGGAGTAAGAGGGAGAGTGCGCGAGTGAGCGAGTGAGTGAGTGAGTGAGTGAGGGGTAGAGTGGAGTGACGGATTAGGGCGGCTGGATGTTGAGGAATTCGTCAAAGTCGGCAAACAGCAGCCACCTGGTGGAGAAAGAGGGAGAGCGAGCGTGTGAGAGAGTGAGTGACGGTGTGAGGGAAAGGGAGAGGGTTTGCGGCAGCCGGATGTGAAGAAAATCGTCGAAGTCGGCAGACAGCAGCCACCTGGCGTGGGAGAGGGAGTTTGAAGCGAAGGAGCACGAGCGTGTGAGTGAGTGAGTGAGTGAGGGAAAGGGAGAGGGTTTGGGGCGGCTGGATGTAGAGAAATTCGTCAAAGCTGGCAAAGAGTTGATGAAAGGAAGTGCGTGTGAGTGAATGGTCGAGAGAGTGAGGCAGGAAGAGGGTTCGGAGAGGCTGCACGCGGAGGGGTTTGAGTCGAGTCCACTCAACACAGCTTTTGAATCGACTCGACATGGCGACACCGCTAATGAGTCGGCTCGACACGGCTTTTGAGCCGACTCAACACTGTAGGAAGAGGACTTGGGGGGGCTGCATGTGGAGGGGTTTAGGGATGGGGTGGGGGTTCACATGCAAACGATAGATGAGGCAAAGTAGGAGAGGTGGGCTTACGTGGAACGTTCGATAGATGCAGTGGAGGTTGGCTTACTCGGAGACATATTTCATTCGATAGAGGCAGTTATTCAGTATAAGAACGTTCTGCTTGGACTCGAACCTGCATGTGTTGGGCGGTAGCAGAGGAACAGGTGGGGGGGCAAGATAAACCCCCATGCATGAATCTCCTGCCTCGGCTAGCTTCTAGTGAGAAGAGCTGCCGGCAAAAGTGAGAAAAGACTGCATGCGATTGGCAGGTAGCAGAGGCACTAGGTGGGGGGGGGATGGGTGAGAACGTGTCTACTGAATCACCTCAGAAGGCACCTCGGTGCAATGTCACCCGGCACGTTCTGCTTGGACTCGCGCACACACCTGCACCCACACGCTCACCTGCACCCACACACTCACCTGCACCCACACGCTCATCTGCACCCACACACTCACCTGTACCTCCCCCCTCAAAACTCACTTGTACCCGCCCCTCATGTCTAGTATCTCCATTATCCCTGCTCCAACTCCTGTGCTCCCCCCATGCACCCCTCCCCCTCCAAGCCTAACCATCAAGCACTCCTGCCCCGCTTGCACACTCACTTGTAACCCCGCTCCGCACTCACTTGTACACCCCCCCCCCCCTCAAACTCACTTGTACCCGCCCCTCATGTCTAGTATCTCCATTATCCCCGCTGCCACGTATGGCTCCAACACCTGAAGGGGGGAGGGAGTGAGTGAGGAAGGAAGGAGGGAGGGAGGGAGGAAGGAGGGAGGGAGGGAGGAAGGGAGGTATTTTTGAGGCGCCTCAAAAGTAGGGAGGAAAGTAGGGAGGGAAAGAGGTAGGTAGGGAGGAGAGAGAGCGAACAGTATAAAACGACAGCCAGTACAAAAACGCCGAACAAAAGTTCTTAAAAGTGTGTACCCTGCAGTACCGTACTAAAGTGTATTACCTCATAAACGTCTTCCACAACAGATGCGCCATCGTTGAGCACAAAGTACTCCACTCTCAAGTAATGCATGGCTACCTGGGAGGAGGGGGCGGAAGAGGGAAGGGTGGCGGGGGGAAGTGGGGGGGGGGGCGGGCGTGGGTTGATTGGAACAGATGCCACGATCGTTGAGCACAAAGTGCTCCACTCTTAGTAAGTGAAGGGATACCTGGCAGGAGGGAGGGACGGGGGGAAGGGGGTGGGGGGCGCGGGGGGGGGGGGGTGGGAGGGGGGCAGATGCGTCATCATTCGGCACTAAGTGCTCCACCCGTAAACAATAAAGGCTACCTGGGAGGAGGGAGGGACGGGGGGAGGAATCACTATTCAAATCAGGGGGACGCAAGAGCAGGGAAAGATCACTATTTCCTTTTCAATAGAAGCCTGCTGCTGAGGGGACATGGGACAATTGTTGCGCGCAAAGTAATCCGTTCTGAAAGAGTGTCACTCCACTCCACTGCACTGCACCGCACTCCACCGCAATGCACTGCACTCCACTCATCACGGGGCAAAGCATGGGGGTTTGGGGGAAGGAAGCACCGGATGACGATGCATCAACAAGTGTGGTAACCAGCCCAGCCCTTTCGTACCTGTAACCACTCCTGGATGGTCTTCGGGTTGAGATCGTGGTACATACGGTAGGGGCAGAAGGCGAGATTGTACTAGGGTTTGGCATCAGTGCATGTGGTAACCAGCGCAGTTACATACCTGTAACCACTCCTGGATGGTCTTCGGGTTGAGATCGTGGTACATGGGGTACGAGCAGAAGGCGAGGTGGTAGGGCGGAGGGGCGTCGATGGCAAACTCATCCGGCCCTTCCTGGTGCATCAGCACCGCCTGCTCGTCTGCGTGAGGAGGGGGGAGAGAGAAAGAAAGGTGTAGAGCAAGAGAGACAAAGAGATGCGAGGCGGTGTAACTGGTGCCAGAAGGCGAGGAGGTAGGCAGGGCGGGGGGGCGTCGATGGCAGACTGGTCCGGCCCCTCCTGGTGCACCAGCACCGCGTGCTCGTCTGCGTATGGAGGGAGGGGGAAGGGAGAATGAAAGGAGGGAGGGGGAAATGAGAGGAGGGGAGGGGGAAGGCCTCAGGAAGGGAAATGGCAAGTATGGATGCTGGATTGGTTAAAACCATGGCAACGCTGGCTGGGATACTATTGATTGGACTCAAAGGGATACTATTGAGTGGACTCAAAGGGGGGAAAGGACCAAAAAGACGAACGTCAAGCATGGAAGCCGGGTCTCCCTCACTCACCCCTCGCTCGCTCCCTCACTCACTTCCCCTCTCGCTCCCTCACTCACTTCCCCACTCGCTCCCTCACTCACTTCCCCACTCACTCCCTCACTCATTTCCCCACTCACTCCCTCCACACACACCTAGCATGAGGATCGCAGAACCCCCTGTCATCCCTGTGCTGTTGACCAATAGTGTACACTCGTAAATTGCTGTCTCGTACAGCAGCCAGTGGTGCTCCGCAGGGTAAATCACCCTCACTTTGCCCTCTGCATAGCCCCCGTCCAATGCCATCCAGTAACACTTGCTTGCCTGCAATTAGGGAGCATATGGGCGTTTCCAAAAGATTAACTTAATAACGATGGGTTTCTTTTAGCAAAATACCTTGATTGAAACTGTAAAAGACGTTCCTGAGACCCCATGTTGAGACAGTTTAAATCAATCATACTCGATAATACCTTTTTTTTTCAAAAGTAAAGAATAATGAAGCCCCCAAGAAACTGTCCAACCATTGCCACTCACCCCACTTCCTCCCTCTTCCTTCAGTTCTCGCAGCGAGTGCCCCAAAGCAGCAAACTGGTTACGGGAAATGCGGTAGCCACCCGCCATGACGAACCGGTGCTGGCCAATGGGAGCACCCGAGACAGGTGGTGGCTCCTGATAGGCCCGCTGCAGCAGCGGCCGCTTGGTGAGGCAGGGGTTGGAGATCGATCCTATGTGGCGCATGTTACCACCGTCCAGGTCAGCATCTGGGTGAGGGGGAGGCGAAGGGGGGGGTGGGGGGGGGAGGTTGGGAGCGGGAAGAGGAGGGGGGAGGGATTTTTGGGAGTGGGGGCGGGAAGGAATCCCCAGCAGGACAGGGGATCCCCAGCAGGACCGGGAATCAGAGCAGAAGGATAGGGACGGCTCAGCCAGGCCAGAAGAAGGTCGCCAAGTTACTACCAGCCAGGTCAGCTTCTGGGAAAGACAGGATCAAACCCTTCAACTCGCACCCCTCTCCCGTTATAAGCACCTGTTCTGTACTCGAGTTTCCTTGTATTGAGCTCCTCTGGTTGCCCTGGCAGGAACACTCCTTGCTTCTGCGCCTGCCGCCAGAGCCCCTCATTCAGCTTCCCCTGAGGCGCGGGGGAAAGAAATGACCTCCGCCTGACCCCCGCTCCCCCTAAACCCCCTCCCCCGGTCCTCCCCCCCGCCATTTGCGCGCGTCCGCGCTGAGCGGGAACTCCGGAAGCCTTTCCCCCAATCCCGCCGTCATTCACCCTGCCAGCGGCGAAATGTCCGCGCTGCTGGCGGAGAAGTTGCTTCCGGGCGAACTCCGCGCTAGACTGGCGGAGGAGCTTCTGGCGGTCGTAGCCGGCGGAGATATTGAGAATAGCGAGGAGAATCAGCGACGGTCCGAAAAGGACAATGAATGTAGTTAAGAGCGAGACGCGGGGACGACCTGACGCGTCGTGTGACGCTACTAATCGCGGCGTTCTCGAATCTCCTGCATCAGCTCCTGTAGCTGCTGCTAAGGCGGAGGCTTGTTGGTCTGGTTTATCGGGTAACTTTGCGACCTCTTTTTTACAGGCGAATTTATGTAGCAGTGCAACATTTCGCCGATGCGTCGTTGACGAAGAGATGCCGTCTTCGCCAGGGTAACCTTCCGACACCATTGCCGCTCAACAGCCAATCACAGAAGGCAATCACAGCAGCCAATCACAACCGCCAAGAACGCCGGTAGATTATGTACCGAACGGAGACGGAGACGGTGTTCTGGAATAAACTGTATTTTTGAAGAACCTCGTCGCTGCAGTTCCGTAACCGAAGGCGCCTACGAAAGACACGGCATCTTAGCCTACATTTTCAAATGTGCATAGAATGCACTACATCTGGTCGCCTGTCCGTGGGAGCTGGACCATTGGATCCTGTTTCATAAAAAAGCCTCCTTTCTTATCTCACCGTCTTCTAAAGCAACTCATCAGTATGTTTGTGCTGTTGTGAGCATCCTGGAAGCAAATGTCCGCAAGCCTGTCAGGAAGGACGCCTTTGCTGAACAGAATCCCCGCAACTTTTATGCTGCAGTGCACATGCACTGTAAGCACGTGTCTCGCGCGTAGGTTTCCTGCTCAAAACCTTACCCAACCGTTTTAGATCGCTAAAATTACTTTCTGACTTGCATAGAAACGCACCCAACCGCAAGAAACGAACGCGCGGGACACGCGCTCAGCAGCAGGAGGACGCACAGCAGAGCAAACCGTAGGACGTAAAAGGAGGACCAGTCACCACCAGAAGGATTCTGTCCTGTTCTGTCCGATACAATCCAGGACGCAACTGGCGCTTTCTGTCGTCAGATCCCCCTGACTTCTTCCGTCCATAAACGTACTCGTTATTGGCCAGCTAGAAAAGTAAAACCTCTCAAAATCATGAAACATAGCTTCAGAATCAGGAAGCCAGTACGGGAAAGTTCCACACATGCACAAGCATAACGATATTTAACGTTACCTACCTGCATAATTTTTACATTTTTTCCTACAGACGTCCAACATACTATAATGATATTCCACCAGCTGAGAATTCCGGCACCTGCATAATCGCATAAGGAAGGTGCACATTAGAAACGAGAACAACATACACTGACACACCAATAAACTTGCTAACCGGCACGGCCTAACTGGCACAACGGACATACCGTTCTGGGTGGAAGTGAGGAGATCCAATCCGCCGGCCGTGTTGGAAGCAAGCCCAAGCCATTCAGCTGCACGGTAGGGAGATAGATAGAACAGGGTAGGATTGCCAACAGGCGTTGTCGACCAGAAAACAAAAAAATGATCCGCCAGCAAAGAAAATAATTGCCGAAAGTGTTTGAACCATGGGGAACAGGGCAATGAAGCTGGGGATGACACGAATAATACAGTGGCAGAGGGGTAGTAAGGCTCAACAGAGGATTAGCATCTAGTAAGGCCCAAGAAGGGGTTGTAGTACGGAATAGGGTTGCACGGATTAGCACCTTCCAGAGGCCAATGGTGAGCAGGAAGAGGTTGACTGCGGCATACATGAGCTTGGGGAGCACCAGATCCACCTTGGGGTCCTTCAACGGATCAAAGGCTGGGGGACGGGGAGAGACAAGGAGACGAAGGTGTGCACGGAGCTGCCAGTTTGCCAGCTAGCTTAATACCTTCTCAGTTCTTAACGTACCGGCGTTGATGGTTCTCAAGGCACTGATGGGCTGCCAGAGGATGGAGAAGGTGGTTTTGATGCTGTATATGTGTGCACTGCGCTGCCAACTTGCCGGCTAGGTCAATACCCTCTGGGGAAACCTACCAGCGTTTATGGTCCGTAAGGGACTGACGGGTTGCCAGAGGATGGAGAAGGTGATGCCAATGCTGAAGATGTGCACCGAGCTGCTGGTTGCTGGTTAGGGTACGCTTCCTCAACATTCAACAGCAGCAGTCTTACCAGCATTGATGGTCCTTAGCTCCGAAATCGGCTGCCAGAGGATGGAGAAGGTGATGCCCCATGCTGAAGATGTGCATGGAGCTGCGAGTGAGTCCCCAGGCAATGATTATACCTTCCCTATTCAAATTTACCCGCATTGATGGCTCTCAAGGCACTGATGGGCTGCCAGAGGATGGAGAAGGTGATGCCGATGCTGAAGATGGGTGCACTGAGCTGCAGCTTTCCCAGCCAGCTGAATGCCTCCATTCCCTCAACCTACCGGCATTGATGGCTCTCAAGGCACTGAAGGGCTGCCAGAGGATGGAGAAGGTGATGCCGATGCTGAAGATGGGTGCACAGAGCTGCAGGTTTCCAGCTAGCTTAATACCTTCTCGGTTCTAAACCTACCAGCATTGATGGTCCTTAGCGCCGAAATGGGCTGCTAGAGGATGGAGAAGGTGATGCCGATGCTGAAGATGTGCACCGAGCTGCAAGTCTGCCAGCTAGCTTAATACCTTCTCGGTTCTTAACCTACCAGCATTGATGGTCCTTAGCGCCGAAATCGGTTGCCAGAGGATGGAGAAGGTGATGCCGATGCTGAAGATGGGTGCACTGAGCTGGAGCTTTCCCAGCCAGCTGAATGCCTCCATTCCCTCAACCTACCGGCGTTGATGGTTCTCAGCGCACTGATGGGCTGCCAGAGGATGGAGAAGGTGATGCCGATGCTGAAGATGTGCACCGAGCTGCCTGCCATCCACAGCATGAACCCCATCATAAGCAGGTTCTTGGTGGGCGATTGGGCTAGGGCCCACGCACGCTGGGAAAAGGAATAAGGCAATGCGGGTAAGGAAAGAACAGGGGACAAGGGGAAGATTGGAGCTGCCTGCCGTCCACAGCATGAACCCCATCATGAGGAGATTCCTGGTGGGCGGCTGGGTTAGGGCCCACGCACGCTGAAAGGAGAATAGGATACAGGAGGTGTGGCAAAGTGAAAGCGGAAAGAGGAGTGGAACAGGGACGGACGAAGCCATCCCATCCACGGAAGGAGCAAGAATGGGATGGGAGCAAACCCTTTGCGGAATGATGGGATGGCATGAGCATGGGATGGCATGAGCATGGCATGGCATGAGCATGGCATGGCATGAGCATGGCATGGCATGAGCATGGCATGGCATGAGCATGGGATGGCATGAGCATGTGTTTCAAGCGAGCCATCAACGCATCAGCAGCATCCATCCACAAAAAGCATCAGCAACCGATGACTGATTCAGGTTACCCCTCCTCGTGCTTTCTGAGGAATAATTGACCCGACTCTAAGTTGTATTTTGAGTCGACTCAAAATACAAATTGACCTGACTCTAAGTCACCATCAACACATCAGCAGCACCCATCCACAACAAGCATCAGCAACAGGTGACTCAGGCCATCCTTCATGATTCCACAAAACACCCCTCTCACCTCCTTCACACCCCTCTCACCTCCTTCACACCCCTCTCACCTCCTTCACACCCCTCTCACCTCCTGCTTCTTTGCCGGATCAAGAGCCTTGTCTTTTTGTGCCAGCGCCTTTGAGCCGCTGCCACTGGACACCTGATACAAGCACACACGCGATAGAAGCACACTCCGGTTGGATTCAAGGCGATCAGCAACGTCTCGCGTTACTCCTAAGATGCCGCAAAGAATGGTTACCACGCGCATGGTTACTGTCTCGCCAGCTCAGCGGCGCTTCGGTTGAAGCCAGGCGGATCAAGAACTTCAACCGTTCGTTACATGCAAGTGGTTACTTTTCAGCTGGTTACTTCTCACATGGCGACTTCCTCACCAGCTCAGCGGCGTTTCGGTTTGATCCCGGCAAATCAGGAACCTCTAATGCGATCCAGTTACTTGTCATGTGGTTACATCTCACTTGGTTACGTCTCACGTGGTCCCTTCCTCACCAGCTCAGCGGCGTTTCGGTTGAAGCCAGGCGGATCGGGAACATCCCTCGAGATTCCCGACGCAGCATCCGCTAGGTCTACGGCCCATCGGCGCGCTTCTTTCCTCCCGCTTCCCGACATGGCTTGCAACTGTCGCACAGATGCAGGCGATTATAGCTGAAGGCCTGAGAGTACTGTACCTAACGACAAGCCGAGCGGCTTGCCACTCGCGACGATGACTGAATGGGGAGCCGCGTATGCGATAGAGGTCGGCGGAATCTCGCGAGAAAATGCTTTCGTAACGCAATCAGGTATTGTGGTAAGGCACAATCGTAGTTGGAAGAATATTGAAAAAAAAATATGTAAAATAAGTGCATTATTGCTAGTTTTACAAACGTAGGATACTCCAGTTATCCATCACATAGTTAGCAGCAGTTTGCTGCACATGGAGCCTCACTCACAACCACAGCAGGAGGGTATCAGGAAGTATACAAAGGCACAAAACAATGTCGCCAGCTAGGTACCAGTATTAGCTTCTGAGGATCCAAACCAAACCATCGGCACTGCAATTCCCCGAGTCAGCAAACCACTGACTGCACTAGCTGGCTTGATTTAGAAAGATGCGGGAACCCTACGCATTGCTCTGTACACCTGAAAGCAGCTTCCTCGGCTTAGCATTGCTGCACAACGCTGCTACAGGACAGGAGGGATGTTGTGAGTCGGTTCAGGAGAAAGTGTTGCATGGAGGCGCTAAGGCGGATGCGCCAAGGTGGAGGCGCTGAGGTGGAAGCACTAATGTGGAGGCGCCAACACCGAAGCACTAAGGTGGACGCACTAGGTGACACCGTTCAGACGCTGCTGGGAAACAGGAAAGAGGTAAGGTATTGATGATATGAAGCAAGATCAGGACGAGGGTGCAGGGACGAGGGAGGATGGCGGGATGGAGGATGAGGAAGACGAGAGGTTGGCTGTTGTAGGGGAAGCGGATGGGCTGTTGGAGAGTGCAGCTGCTGCAGCTGCTGCGGCTGCCGCGGCTGATGTAGACGAGGCACTGCTAGACGAGGGAGCTGTTACGGCATTGCTGCTGCTGCTGCCGCTATTGGCAGTGCTGCTGTTATTTCCACTGCTATGTCCAGAGCCTGCCGGGGCAGTGATGTCGTATTTGCAGAGAGGGCAGGTGGGGCGAGTGCGCAGCCACTTGTCGACACAGGCGGCGTGGAAGTGGTGCGCACAGGGCAGCTCTCGTAGCATCACTCCATCCTCGTACGCTCCCAGGCATATGCAGCACTCCTGGGGTGAGGAGAGAAAAGGGATGGAGGGATCCAGCGTGAGGTAGAGAGCAGGGGAACGATGCGCGTGTGGCATTCCAAGGTTGCGAAAGAGCACATGATAGAGGAGAAAAAGGGAGATACGGCATGGGGGCTGAGGAAAGCATGTGGGGGGCTGAGGAAAGCATGTGGGGGGCAGGAAGGGGAGTTTGGAGGGGGACGCGGAGAGGAAGAGCGGAAAAGTTGAGAGCGAGAGGCGCGAGCGGAAGGGCGGAGAGAGAATGGAGAGACAAGATAGAGCAAAAGAGGCCCTGAGTGATAGGCTAGTGCACAATCCTCGTTTTGAGGCGCCTCAAACTAGGAGGGAGGAGAGCAAGGAAGGCCCTAGCATGAACCTACCGCGTCATCATCTGCCAGTTCTCTCTCCCGCGGCGGCTGACTCGACCCGCCCACTTGAGTCATGACGCCCCCTGCCGGCTCATCTATCGTCACCCGAACCTCCTCACTACCACTGCTCCTGCTGGTGCTCGGCTCAACGCTGCTACCGCCAGGGCTGTTACTACCCCCGCTGCTAGCACTTTTATCCGAACCATTCACACCTGCGCCCGACCCGTTATTGTGGCCCTTGCTACTGTTGCTAAAGCTGTTGGTAAGGGCGCTGCCGCTACTGCTGCTGGTTCCGACGCCCAGCGCCTCTGTGATGGCGGAGAGGGCGGCGGAAGCAGTGAGCGCGGGCCTGCTGCTGGCGGGGGAGGCGCCTCGCCGGCGGAACTTGAATTGCGGGAGGGACTGGATCTGCTCGTTAGTGGCACCTTCCTGTGGAATCACGAGGAAAGAAGCGGGGAGAAAAAGGGGAAGTTAAGCAACAGTGCAGCAGCACACGGCGATGCCCACCAGACACGAATAAGAATCCTTGATACAGTCACACATCTCGATATAGTCAGCACGCACCTGTTCGCCCATGGCGTAGAGGATGACGATAATGCAAGGCAGGCAGCAGCACACGGCGATGCCCACCAGACAGGCAAGAAGCATGGATAATAACCCTCGATACATTCATTCCACTCGTAGAATATGACCCGCAATATAATCACCTGTTCGCCCATGGCGTAGAGGATGGCGATAATGCAGGGCAGGCAGCAGCACACGGCGATGCCCACCAGACAGGCGAGGGCGATGCAGAAGATGACGAAGAACACGTCGAACGCCAGAAACGACATGCACACCCTGCGGAATAAATGCGGAACATCGAAGACCTTGTTAATGATATTCATGAGACACGAGATGTACGCCCAGGGACGCATAGACTACGACTTAAAGACCTGGACGGCTCCTCGAAGACACGTTAAAATATTGCTGTGGAGCGGAGTCGACCTGGAGGGTGTTCATACCATGAGAGAATGGGAGCGTCTTCGAACGTGTCGTCGAATGTGGAGATGATCCACGCGAAGCCGACGGACCACCAGAGGAACCAACAGTGCTACAGATGAAGACCCAGTGAGAATTCGTACCATCAGCGAACGCGAGCAACGTACCACGAGAGAATGGGAGCGTCTTCGAAGGTGTCGTCGAACGTGGAGATGATCCACGCGAAGCCGACGGACCACCAGAGGAAAGAGAAGACGGTGTTGGCGGACTCGATCTGCTTCGCGATGCTGCGCGCCGAACGAAGGAGCGGAGAAAAAATAAAGTTATCTTTGAGACGAAATAAGATAATTTCTAGGATCCCCTGCACATCGGTGCATGGGCGTCTAGAAACGACGGAACTGAAATGCGGAACGTTGCGGATTCGAAAAAAGGAGGATCAACAACCGCGTCGAAGGGTCGAGCGGGGAGGAAACTAGAAACGCGCGGAGAACGCTAAATTAAAAAAAAAAAGAGAAAAAGGAACGGAACAAGCTGAGGAAACATGCGAATCCAGCAACACAGTCGTCAGTACCTGTCAATCCGGTCATCCTCCATCCGCTGCTCTCCCGCACCCTCCTCCTCTCCCTCCTCCTCGTCGCTCCCTCTCTGCAACAAACCCTCTCGAATATCCCCAGAATTCTCGCTCCCTCCCCTTCCTCCTCCCCCTCGTCCTCCTCGTCCTCCTCTCCCACCACCCACACCCCGTGACCCCCGTCTGCTCCTGCTCTCCCCACCGCTCCTTCTAGACCGACTCCGTTCCACCGCTTCGCCTCGTTGCCGCCGGTCGAACTCGACCAGCACGCAGATTATATGTATGATACACTGGGCCGCGTAGCCCATGAGCCAGACTCCTAGCGGAGCAGACGGCTCCTCGTTGTGGGTCCGGCTTATAGCGAGTGTAGCTATGGCGACGAGCACGAAGATGAGATTCCAGAGCGTGTCTAGGAGCACGATGGGACGGGAATAGGCCCAGTTGCTCTGCCGCTCCTCCAGCTGCGAGCAGACAGCGCAAACAGACAGCACAAGAACAAAGAAAACAGATCAAAAAAGGGTTAAAAATATAAATATAAATAGATATACATATATATATATATCTGTATATAAAGAGGAAGCAGAAGACAACGATAAGGTAGAAAGGTGACGTGACGGAACGACACACTTGAGGGACGGAAACGAAACCGGGAGCATCCGACGGACGAAACTATCCACAAGCATCCACGCGTTGCGAGTGCTGCTAAAGAAGGACAGCTGCGAAGCAAGAAGCAGCAAGAACCGGCTGCGTACCTCCTCCGACGCTGCATCGCGAACCCGAATGGACTGCTGCCGCATCAACCGCTGACTGCTCGCCTGGCGAATCAGCCTCGCCGCTCCTAACGCGACCGAGCCTCCCGTTCGAGGTACCGAGCCTCTTGCTTCATTCCCCGGCGGTGACGTCAAATCCCCTGACGAACCTCCGAGTCCTATGCTTATCAGCCGAAAACTACCGCTACTGCCAGCGCTGGTTCCCCTGAGGCTCCTACTCCGACCGCTTCTTCCTTGGCTGCTTCTACTGGCGCTAGTCATCTCGCTGGTAGTATCATTGACGCCGTCCACGGAGGTCAATGGCTCCATAATCTGGTCCATATCTGAGACGTTAACTCTATTGCTGACGTTACCTCTATTGCTGACGTTACCTCTATTGCTGACGTTACCTCTATTGCTGACGTTACCTCTATTGCTGACGTTACCTCTATTGCTGACGTTACCTCTATTGCTGACGTTACCTCTATTGCTGACGTTACCTCTATTGCTGGCGTCTGTGGCGTTGTCTGTAACGGTGGCGTCTGGCTGCGTTACTGACTGGAGACTCGAGCTGGGAGCAGTAGCGTCGCCATCGGTTCTGCCATGAGGTGACATCACGCTAATGAGGTCCCTAGCATGCGTTGCATGAATTTAACGATAACCCTAGCACGCGGTGATCCTTGTACGGCTCTTATTCAGCGTGGAAGTGTATGGAGCGAGTAGAAAATCGTAAGACACGGTAGATTCAGGAGTTTGCACTGATCTGCAATAAGTGCGACCGGCGACAAGACGTAAAATCGAAACCCGCGACTGCGTATCAACACGCAGCCAGCCAATGAGAAGCCAAACGAGCAGCAATTAACATCAGCTACTAACTGTCACAAGCTAATCCCTGCTTATGGAATTACTGTACGTGTATCAGGGATTCAGGAGCACAAAAGCTCTACAGAGCTCCTTGTGAGATAAGACCATGCAGAATATGAGGTCGGTGCATCTGTGGAATTTGTGTAGGGGGTGCTGGCGCTGCTTGCCCCCTCTAAACTTAAGGACGCGATGCACCGCGTTCAACCGTTCCGACTGAACTCGCACCCATTTTCAATCGACCTCTGAGGGTTCTCCCTCCCAACCAAGTCCTTCATTCTCCAAGATGCACCGCATCCTCCATGCTTCCTGAAGGAATCGAGGCTGTTCCGCCTTACTCCGCACCTCAGCTGCTCCTCCGCATTTTGCCTCGGATGCTCCGCGAACAGCCCTGGATTTGGTCAGGCAAAAGTAGGGGGGAAAAAGGAGGGAGGCTAGAGGGAGGTTGGGGAGCGGAGCTGCAGGTGTGGAATGGGAGGGAGATGAGGAGATTGGCTCCTGGGCGCGGGGTTTGGGAGAAAGGGTGTGCGGAACTGGATAATTAAGGCGGTGGGTGGAGAGAAATGCGGACGCGGGGCATGCGGGGGATGCGGGTGACTGGAGGCGAGGAAATCGAGGATGCGGGCAGCAGGAAGGAAATCCAACCAACCTCCTTGACACCTTTCTGACGAGGCAAGCCGTGAGGGAGGGGAAGGTTCTGCCGAGCTTGACTGGTGGTAGAGAAGACCCCATTCCGAGCGTTTCCCCAACGAAAGAAACGCTCCGCTTGGTGATAGGAAGTTTGGTCTGGAAGTGGTGGCACAGGTCGTCATCTGACGAAAATGCCAGGGGAGGGGAGGAACGCGTTTGGTTGGAGCGCAGAGCCGTCAGGAACCCAGCCCTGGTTGGCTCAACCAGCTGCCGTGTACAGTACGGAGCTTGTACGACCCGCTTCATTGCATCGCATGCTGCTGCGACAGTCGGTCAGGTCAGACCTCCCAAGAAGCGACCGCGATTCGACATCAGCGATTCGACTGCTGCTCCCCTGACCGCCAGGTTTGGGAGATTGGGCTGCGCTTGGGAACCGTTTCTTGGTAGCGGGCAGAAAACAAACGGGTTTCGCGATTGCTGTGGCCCACCAAGCCGATAAAGAAACAGCAAAATCGAACGAAATGACTCAAACGAAACATCGAACGCCACAACCATTTCCTGGTTCCAGTTGCGTCGCACATGAGAAGCAACAGCATGCCAACCAAGCCAGGCCATCTACAGTGTGCTACAAGTGAATCAGGCCAGGTGTGACAAGAGCGGAGCTTCGGTCGAAATTTGAGCTACTATCATTTCTCAAGCTAAATTCATAAGCAAACCTACATTATACATAGAAGAGAAATGAGCCAGCCTATGAGGAGTATTTGAAGCTTCTTCAGAAAGGATTCATATTCCACTTCACTTCGCTGTGGGTGCCTCATCATCGCTAAACCGTCTGTTTCTCACATCCGCTCTGCCATACACCTTGGAAGGAAGCCAGCGGCGTGACCACTAGTTCGCCACACAGCAAACCAGTTGGAAATCCTCCAGGGACGGTTGGGTGACCGACCGTCTCGTTTTGACGAGTTGCAGACACTCTTGCTAGAAGCTTTATCTTCGCGAGCAGAAATGTCCAAGTCTTGCAAGGGTCTGGCGTACGAGCTCGTCAAGTGCGTGGCGGAGAGCCCGTGTGTGAAGGTGAGAGGTCTGGTGTGAGAGTGAGCGGGCGCTAAGGGCTTGTGGTGAAAGGCTGATCGCAAGATCGACGGAAACTCCGATTAGAAACTTACGCTCTTCGTCTATTTTCCGACTTTCTTTTCGTCTCAACTTGTTACATCCTCCCCCTCCGGCTTATCGTGGTACAGGAGAAAGGTCAGTCCGTGCAGGAGTGCGCGGGGAAGCAGCCGCCAGAGATTCCGTCCAAATGTGTGGGGCTGAGGGAGACGTACGCCAAGTGCAAGAGAGGACAGGTGAGACGGAGAAAGAGCATCGTAGCTCCCATGATGGCATACACACAGCCGTCAGAGATTCCTTCCATGTGTGTGGGCCTAAGGGAAACGCTACGCCAAGTGCAAGAGAGGACAGGTAAGAGGAGCAAGTTGAAGCGGGATCTGATGGAGGGTGGACAAAGGAGAGCTCTTGTGAGAATAGCCTATAACAACTTAGGGTTTGCACATGGTGGCGAAGCGGGTGTCAGTCCTGTTTGTTAAGTGAGTTTGCGTGCGATCCGTGTTCCGATGACTCTCCCCTGTGCATATCCTTGGCAGGTTGACATGAGAACGCGGATTAGAGGCAACAAGGGGTACTAGGAGCCAGTGAACTTCATAGAAGGGTGGGACATTATCTTAGAGAAGGGTGCAGGGAGCTTCCACACAAGGGATCTTAGAGACGTTTCGTAGGATTTCTGAAGACCTTGCGTGTGGTAAGTTGACTCTAACCAAGTATGCTAAGAGTAGTTGAGCGCAAGTTTTATCATGATACTGACCCCTCCGTTGCTTTCCAATGTGATGGTTTTGCAGGAAGATGTCAGAAGTGGTATGATTCTCTCTTCTCTACTCTGTTTTTTTCCGCTGGAAAAACACAAGTGTACAATAGTTTTGAGTTTACCTTATGTGAGGTGGGTACATACAGCATACTTATATTGAAGGGATCAAACTGGTTATAGAATTGCTCACTATTTCGTTCACCTCCCACAGGTTGCTTTCTTCACCGAATCTGCAGAGCAGCCAATAGAAGAGCCGAATTTGCACTAATTCTGACGTATGTGCGCCAGTTGGAAAGTAGAATCAGATTTGTCACTACGATGCTCCTTTCTTTGCATGGGCTGCCAAACGGTTCCGCGATTCGGTCACCTGGCGCGGTTCAGCGGTTCGGTCAACTCAGCTCAAGCTCTCGGCATGTGCATGGACGGTGGATTTCGTGATGCGAATGATGAGTGCGCTGCCTGCCGAGTGCGCTGCCTGCCGAGCCCACGGCAGGCGCCGGGACAAATTCGTGATGGGGTATTACAAGAGTGAGCGACCGAGCGCACCACGGGAGGCGCGCGCCGGAACCCTTTCGCGCTGTAACCCGATTCGCACGGCCGGACCCTCGTCACCCGCAGGTGGCGGGTCCGGCTCCGCACGCTGGGAAGCGTTAGCGTGTGTGTCTGGGTTGCCGCCGTATCTTCGCGCACAAGAGATCGCTGGCCTTTTTTACGCCCTCCTAGCCTCATTCGGGTCGCTGGCCTTTTTTACGCGCTCCGAACCTCTTTCGGTGCTATCTGGTTCTTATTCTCTGTCTGATTCTCTGTCTCGAGTGCCTGAGCGGTTGTGAGCGGTCTTGAAAGTTGTCGCCCGGTTCCAAAAGGTGAAGGTCGATTGGGAAGTGCGTGCTCGGAGCTACAGCATGCAGCATACTGTAACGAGGTTCAAGCTCAATAACGGGGATGAGATCCCCGCTGTGGGATTAGGGACGTGGAAGATCGCACCTGAGGATGTCGACGCTGCTGTGTCGACTGCTCTGGAGGTAAGGGTTGCTCATTTTTCCAGGGTGTTTTTGGAAATTCTCAAGAACGCCCTGCAAACTCTTGGGAAATCGAAGGTCGCACCTGAGGATGTCGACTCGACACTGCTATGTCTACTGCTCCGGAAGTAAGGGTTGCTCACATCATTTTGTGGATTTCATATACCCTCTGGCATTAATAGGGGCATTTTTAGCTCTGATGTACCGTAACTCCCTTTTGGCTTTCTCCCTTTTTATGTTGATCTGAATCCTTTGCTGCTCAATCAAATGCGCTTGGAGTTTTGCTAACATTTCTGGGGAGCTTTCGGCTTTTAAGGCATTGCTCAAGTTACCTCCAAGGAATTTCTCGTCCATTACTAATGTCTGCCTCTTCCCTTCCGTTTTGCCTCTCCTCCATCCTCCATTCCTGTTTCAATCCCCTCCCCCCTCCCAATTCGTCCACTCATACATTACTAATGTCTGCCTCCTCCCTTCCCTTTGCCCTCTCCTCTCCTCCATCCCCCTGGTTCAATCCCTCTCCCTCCCAATCTCTTCCACTCATACATTACCAATTTCTGCTTCTCCCTTTGCCCTCTCCTCTCCTCCATCCTCCTGTCTCAATCCCCTCCCCAATTAACCTGACACCTTAAGGCCGGCTATCGCCACTTTGACTGCTCAACCAAATACAATAACGAAGCTCAGGTGCGCGTTCTCAAAGAACAGGTTTTCCTGTCTGGGTTCTTTACTCTGCATCAGGCGCATGCTTTACATGCCATGTCAGGGGTAATCATGATCCCCGAGCATCCCTGACTCAGCATGTCAAATGTGCTGACCTCGCGTCCCTGCAATGCCATGTCAGCAGGTCGGGAGGGCGCTAGAGGATGGCATGGCACGGATGGGGATTGAACGCAAGGACCTTTTTGTCACCTCTAAGCTCTTGTAACCCTACTAAGCTCTGGTAACCCTACTAAGCTCCGGTAACCCTACTAAGCTCCGGTAACCCTACTAAGCTCTGGTAACCCTTCTAAGCTCGGGTAACCCTACAAAGCTCTCGCCGGTATTCCAAGCATCTGGTAATGACTGCTGGGACTCGAAGAGGATGGCATGGCACGGATGGGCGTCGACGGTAAAGACGTCTTTGTAACATGAGGTCTGGTATTAGTAACCTTCAAGCTCTGGTACCACTTCTAAGCCCTGGTACCTCTTCTAAGCTCCTGCTCTAATCATTGCTGTTACTTTCAGTGAGGCGTCTGGAAGCTTGTTTTTTCCGAAGCAGCGCCTCGAAGCAGCGCCCTGAAACAGTGCCCTGAAACAGCGCTTGTTCGTTTGTTTTAATTTGTTTGATTAAATGTGCTGCTCTGGCTCTGGCGTTGCCTACTCACTTCACCGCTTTGTTGTGCCACAATACAGCACCTGCACACCTCTCCACCCCTCCTATGCCCCCCTCTTCGTCTTGTTCCCTCCAGGCCTTCGGAATTCTCTCCCCCTGACATCATCCCGGCTCTCGAAAACACCCTTGGAGACCTCCGGCTCACACATCTGGACCTCTTCTTGGTGTGTACCCAGCCGTCCTTTCCACACACATCAAGGCACCCAAAAAGAGCCGCCTAAGAGCGGCAGAGTGGCCATTAATCCACTCCAACCCCTTCCAACCGCTCCTTGCAGCTCCATAGAACCGTCACCCATGCAAGTGGCCAAGCCTTGGCACTCACCATTTTAGTTTTCTCATCCCGCCACTCTTCCGTCCCAGTCCCCGTCAACAATTCCCCCCCCCACCCTCCCCTCCCCCCAGCTCCACATACCCGTGCAAATGGCCAAGCCTTGGCACTCCCCCCCTAAGAGAGAAGACAGGGTGCTGCCGTGGCAGATGGCAGCAGTTGGAGGCAGCAGTGGAGCGGGGATTAGTGCGCGCCATCGGGGTCTCCAAATGGTCGGTGACGAAGCTGAAGCAGCTGCTGAGCTGGCGGCCCGTGCACGTGCCAGCTGTCAACCAGGTGGAGGCGCATCCCCATTGGAGGCAGGATGCCATGCTGGCGTCTTGCAAGGGCGAGGTAATACATGTGTCGGTGAGTGGTAGAGCATCGTTGCATGCAGAGTGTATATGTTGTATCTGCATGCGTTACGTTATGTGGCTCTTGCATAGGGTATAGGATCCATGCAATCTACTGTACTTATTTCAGACAAAGATGGAGTCTAGTGGACGAGGTGAGTGTAGTGAGTCGATTCTTGAGTCGACTACAAACTGGAGTCTAGTGGATGAGGGGATACAGGTGTGGGTGAGTGGCACGGGGCATTGTTGCATGCAGAGTGTATATGCATATGAATATTCATCATGCCTTTCTTTTCTCATATATGCGTGTACTACGTTATGTTGCTCTTGCATATGGTATATGATCCTAGTGTACTTATTTCAGACGATTATCGAGTCGAGAGAATTTTGCTCCTGTAAGAGATCATACTCGCTCATTCATTCTCCTCTCGTTTCTCTGCCAGGCTTACATCCCTCTCGGCTCGAGGGATCGCTTGGTTTATGACGAGTACCTCACGCCTCCCGTGCTTCTAGACCACCCGCTGATTAAGGAGGTATGTAGAGTAGAAGAGAGAGGCCAGTAAATGTGGGGGGTGAGCAAGAGAGGGTAAATGCGTCGAGCCTGCTTTTTCTTGTCATGGAGTCCATATTCAGCTTCAATCCTTTCGTCAATGTTCTCTCCCTTTCCTTCCCCTTTTGCTTCTCCTTTTTCCTTTTTTTTTGTTTTGTTTTGTTTCTCTCTCTCTCTCTCTCTCTCTCTCTCTCTCTCTCTCTCTCTCTCTCTCTCTCTCTCTCTCTCTCTCTCAAGCGGTCCGTTTATTGCTTGGAAAACTGGGTACAGGCTAGGCAGGCAGGGGGCAACAAGTCAAGGTACGTGCATGTTTTAGGGACTCGAAACTACTCGAGCTCCCCTAGGGGTTCTGCTATGGCAAAGCAGTCCCCAGGTGCCATGTCGGCGTCTGGGGTGCCCACTGGGATGTGGGGGGCTGGGGAGGCTTCATTAACTTTCCCCAGGTAAGCCAGGGCCTGTGCCCGCTGCAGCGTCACTGACCAGCGTTGGCGAAACTGGTGGAGCAGTTTCGCGGCCTGGTAGGAGCTGGGGTCCGCATTGAAGAGTCTCCTGGCTCCTGTGTCAGCCAGCAGCTTCAAGAAGGTAGGGACCTCGGCGCAGGGGCAGCCGTATGTCTCAACTGCAAGTGGGAAAAATCCGACATACGGAGCCCGATTTCGGTAGTGGGAGATTTTCTTGTCAGCTTGCTCCCGGGCCATGTATCCGCGTCCTTTTCTTGCGTCCGGGTCCCGGCTGCTGATGGGATCTGTGACGGTGACGTCACAGATCCAGACGGCTCCGGAACTGCGGTCTCGGAGGGCGAGGTCGGCTTTGTGGCCGTCAACGGGGCTGTAGATGGTAGTCTCCTTAGTGACTATGAAGTCAGCATCTCGGGCCATCCGGATGCTCTCGTCCCGCAGGGCATTGTGGGTGTCGGTCTCTCTCTCTCTCTCTCTCTCTCTCTCTCTCTCTCTCTCTCTCTCTCTCTCTCTCTCTCTCTCTCTCTCTCTCTCTCTCTCTCTCTCTCTCTCTCTCTCTCTCTCTCCTTTGTCTCCTTTTTTTCTACATTTCTGCCATTAGGTGGCGCATAGTCTGCACCAGTCCCCAGCGCATGTGGCCCTATGTTGTGGCATCCGGGGGGGAATGAGCGTCCTGCCCAAGAGCAGCTACCCTATCCAGTCCACTCCCTCTTCTTCTATCCGTTACCCGCTCCCTGCCATCAGGTGGCCAGGAATCTGCATCAGTCCCCATCACAAGCCACCCTGCACTGGGGCATCCATAGGTGATGGCTGTGTTGTCCAAGAGCAGCAGGCTACCCTATTCCCCCCATGTCCTCCCTGCTCTCTCTGCTCTCCTTTCTGCCTTTTTACACCATCAGGTGGCCAGCAATCTGCACCAGTCCGCAGCGCAAGTGGCCTTGCGGTGGGGCATCCTAAGGGGAATGAGTGTGCTGCCTAAGAGCAGCAGCCCATGGCACATAGAGGAGAACATTGGCCTGTTTGATTGGAGCATACCCCCCCTGGACTTCCACGCTCTCTGCATGATAGAGCCCCAGGTGAGCATGTGTGAGGAAGGTGCGAACCATCGAGGGAAACATCGACCTTCTTAATTGGAAAACACGCCTATGGACTTGCATGCACTCTGTGTAGAACCACGGGTGAGCATGTGTGAGGGGGTGGAGAACCACCAAGGAAAACATCGACCTTCTTAATTGGAAAACACGCCTATGGACTTGCATGCACTCTGTGTAGATCCACAGGTGAGCATGTGTGAGGGGGTGGAGAACCACCAAGGAAAACATCGACCTTCTTGAGTGGAAAACACCCCCCATGGACTTGCATGCACTCTTCATGAGAGAGCCCCAGGTGAGCACATGTGAGGGGGTTGAGAGCTGTGGATGATAACATGGCATGCACTCGCATGCACTCGCATGCACCATGGGTGATTTCTTGACTGGAAAGCACCCCCCGTGGACTTGCATGCACTCTGCGTCATAAGGGTCCCTTGAGAAAGTTGACCTGGTTTGTCCTGGCTTGACTTCCCACTCTCATGCACATACAGGCGACCTCTTTCGAATATGCAGTGTTTTTGTATGTTGCACATGTTGGGTTACTACCGGGTATGGTTGGTGCGTCATCACTATTGCTTCCTCCCATGCACCGGCTCTCAGGTGCGCATGTTGGGTTACTACGGCTACTGGGTGGGTGAAGGCCGGCCGTTCCTGGAGCCAGAGGAGCTTTGGGACGACGAGGCAGACACGGCAGATGAAGAAGGTAAGGCAAGGGAGGGATGCATGGCAGCTGTGGAGGAAAGGCAAGGAGGGTGAAGGCCGGTTGTTCCTGGAGCCAGAGAAGCTTTGGGACGATGAGGCAGACACGGAAGTCTAGGGGGACAACGGAGAGGAAGGATACAAAGCAATGGAAGGATTCAGGGCAGCTTCGGAGGAAAAACAAGGCCGAGCCAGTGCAGGAGACGACTGGGAGGAACGATGGCAGTGGGGCATTTTCCTCTCAGTCTGTACAATGAATAAACTTGGTTTTTCTCATTCGTCGTGGACCGTGGTGTCTTCCTTCGAAGATGGAATGCAGATCCTCCCAGTGGAATGCAAATCCTCGCAATGGAACGGAAAGCCTCTGTAAATGAGAAGAGTCATGTGCTCTTGAGCAGCCAGATGGCTTGGGAATGGGGGATATGATATGATGGAAAGTGAAGTGAGCTTCGCAAGCAATTAAGGCGGGTGGGATGCTGGGATGGGAATGGGGGTGGCAGTGGGGGATGGAAAGCTGGGCACACTTGATGTTAAGTTCCGCTACGCTAAGCTGCGACAACGGTACTCACTGGAATTTATGGCACTGATAAGTTGATAACTGCTGAATTTTTGAGTTTGCGTGATTGTTGACGATGATGGTGGTGAATCGATAGTGAGAAAAGAAGGGACTTCAAATGAACCGTCACGTTAGGTAGGCGTTGCTTTTTGAGGTACTTATGAAATTCCCAAGTTGTAGTATGGTGAAGTATTATGGTGATGAAGCACGACGTTTATATGGTCATTGTGTACGAAGAATATGTGAACCAATGATCACTACGAGGACCACTGTGCAGTGTTTGCGGATGCATGACATTCCCGACCACTCTGCGCACGCCACCTGACAAAGGATACTGCTCTGATCTTGAGGAACATGAACCCGAGGTAGGGTCAACCTGTGTAGGCTGGATTCGTTGGATGGATGCTGACTGGAAGCAGACGCAGATTCAACGCGGTCCGGATGTAGTTGACTGCCTTCATGCGCTTTCCTACGACCTTATTGGCTGATTTGTGTACAGTGCCTTTGCGAATGACGTGCCAATCAGCAGAGGAAAAATTTCGGCAACCACGCTCGCTCATGCTGCTGCTCTCACCCTTTGGGTTTGGCAAGGGACAAAAGTTCAACGGACAACTTGACGCTATATTTGACTACGTGCCTCTTGGTTATAGGCTGAGAATTGTGGTGAAGAACAGCATGGTGATGTGATGAGATCCGACCCGTCCGTGCAGGTTCGATTGAATGTGGTGCAGCTGACGGGTGATAGTGATGGTCTGACGTGTAACAGCTCAGGGCGTACGCTGAACCACATTCCTCTATGCGCTTGAACTGTTACCAACAACCCGTCATTCGAGATGATCTCGAAAGATGCTCAACCTGGAATACCCCGACGCTCTAATTCGCATGAAAGAATACGCCCTCGTTATCCCTTCTGGCTAACATCTTGGCCACAAGCGGTGCCATGACTCCCATCCAAATTACTGCCTCCCATGCTGATCGCGCCGCCGTGCGGGACGAGTCACGCGAGTGCCCACTCACTTCCACGTGGCCAAAATTCGGGGAAGGGGGAAGAGGTCCTGTACCGCTGGTTTCCCCCAACCAGTGGCTCACTCACACCTCCCTGCTCCACCACCTAGGTTTCGGTCCCCCCTCATCCCCCATTTCGTTCTTTGGGGGTGGGGGCACAAGCTGGGGGCAGGAGAAGGGGATATTTGCTGCTGAACCTGGCCCGTTTCTGCGCCTTCTGTGCTCTCGCCAGCGTGCATTCTCGTTCGGGGAACCGGGCAGGGTGAAGGAGAAGCAGCAAGCTGCTGCTGCAAGGTTTGCTGGGGGAGGGGAGGGACCAGCTGACGGAAACTCATTTCTGCCCAGTTTTGCAAGCACCAACCATGGACCGCGTATAGCACCATACCGAAACGTACAGTACCGTACTCCACCAGCCAGCTAACTAGCTCTCCCCTTCTCCAAATGCATCTCTTGCTGGAAATTGCGGCCAGCTCCCTTTTCACTGATCACTTCCAGTCAGTTATCTCCCTGCGTTGCAATTTGCAAGGACTGGCTGGCTGGGCCCTCAATTTGCAACACGTTACCGTACAAAACCCTTTCCCATACCCGTTTACACCAGTTAACCACGGCTAGTCACTCACCCCTCCCCTCCCTTTCTCAGATGGGTTGGTTTGGAAGGGGAAGGAAACAACCAACGCCCCAGCTGTATGTACGCTGCTGCCCTCGCTTTGGGCTCACATCACAGACTACATCTCTGCTCTCCGACTCACTTACCCCAAGAGTCTAGGGCCAGTACATGCTTGCGTCAGCCTCACTCGGCGTCATGCCGTCGACGCGTTACGTCAACGCGACAGCCTGCGAATATCGCGAGGGATCGCTCGCCGTCGCTCGCACGCGTGGCGAAGACAGGAGGAGAACATCCACCGGCATCCCCTTAATGATTAGCCAGTTGTCAGCTGCCAAGTGTCCCCGATCAACTCCCGATTGACCCCCGTCTCATGAACGAACGAAGCATAGGATCTTCGCGAAATCCCTTCGTTCCACCTTCGAAGATCATCTCGCGCCGCCCAAATTGCATATGCTCGGCGACCACGATCGTCAGCTCGTGGAGATATTTCAGGGTCGGTCTGCGTTAGTTGCTGCTACGACCCGAAGTACGGTCTGTCGATCGCAGCTCTCCTCTCCACCCTGGCCGGTTATCACGACGTTAGGAGGCAGTGACAAAGTTGCAATACCGTACGAAGCTGCCTAGACCGGCGCAAAGCGCAACGCGCAACGCGGCGCAAAGCGCAGCAGAAGCAGCAGGAACAGACGTTGGCAGTAGAATCCTGGTCCTCCGCGATCGGCCCTTGAAGATATTTCTGGGCCCGTTCATTGCATCACGCCTTACTAAGCATTTTTTGTCGCTCCTTACTCAGCGATTTGGAGTCGCTCTCTCTCCTCGTTCCCTCTCCTCGCCCTCTCTCCTCTCTCGCTCTCTCTTCTCCCTTACCGGGAATAGGAGCTATATGTTCGCATAGCGTTACTTTCAGGAACACAATCGCATCGCTAGCAACGGAGTTCTCACTCACCAGAGTTTTGAGCGCTGCTCGAGATTCGAACACACGACCATGACGATCTCAGCGTACCCCAACACCACATCTACAACTGACCAGCACTGCATAAGTAGCATCACCACCACTACCACCACCCCTACCGGCCTCCTAGACCTACCCCTCGACACCATCTGCACCATTCTCCACCGCTTGAAACCCCGGGATCTCGTCGCCGCCTCGCTGACGTGTCGCACCCTGAACGGACTCATCGACCAGCCGAACACGTGGCTGAACCTCTGCCGGAAGTGGGAGGGCCAGCTGGCGCTCAGCGAGTGGCTCGTGCAGGTGAACTCGGCGAAATGCCTCTTTCGCCTGTTACACTGTTTGAGCCCGCTCGTGGGGGTGTGGGCGGCGGAGGATCTAGCGCCCCGCGGCGGGCTGCTATATGTGACCTGGGAGCGCATGGCGGTCGTCGCTTATCGAATCATCCCCGATTGGCTAGGTGAGTGTGTTACTCGGCTTTATTAGTGCCCTCACCCATGCCCTGCCGCATGCCTGCTTCAATTCTCGTTCTCTTGATTCCGCCCTGCATTCCCCCCCCAACCCCTCCCCTTCCCGTTCCGCCCTTCCCCCTCCCCCCTTCCCCCTTTTCACCAACCACCCCTCTTTCCCTCCCCCCCCCCCGCCCTTCCCCCCCGATCCCCCGCAGACGGCAATCTCATTTCCGCGCGCCTCTTCACGATCTCCGCGTTTCCCGACGGCACGACGCAGCTCAGCCTGGTCACGGGGCGCGGGGTGGACGACGAGTACCCGCTCGAGCTCCCCGGGGTGCTCGTCTGGGAGTCCCCCGCGCGAGCCAAGTTCCACCTGCAGACGCTTCTTCCGCCCTCCGCCCGCTCCCCCGCGAGCATCGCCGCCGCGCCTTTCGCGAGAGTTCCGCCTTCGTCGGTCCCCGGAGACCTGTCGTCGTCGTCGTCGCGCGTGTCGCCTGCGACGTCGCTGAAGAGCGTCGTCGCCGGGCCGTCGTCGTCGTCGCTGTCGTCGTTGTCGTCGCTGGGGGCTGCGGCGAGGCTAAAGGCGACGTTTCAGCGGGCTGGCCTGGGCCGGTTTGCCGCTACAGCCTTACCCGCCTCAGCCATTCCCCCCACCGCTACAGCCGTCCCCCACTCCGCCATTCCCCAGGGACCTGCCGTTACTCCCCCCCCTGTCCGCGCAGCCGTGCCTACTTTGCCCCCGCGCCCTCCCTCGAGCAGATCTGCGGGCAGCAACGACGACGGGACCTTGCTTTCGAGGTCCGGACTAAGTATCGGCGGTGCTGCTCTCCACAGAGCGGGATTCGTTTGTAGCACGGGAAAGGAGGGATCAAGCTCGAAGCGGCTTCAGCTTCGCGCTCTGCGATACCTGACCGGATTGAAACGAGATTCCGGGAGCGCTTCGAAGGAAGCGGCGGCTCCATCCAAGCGTCCTCGATCCGGGTGTGACAGTACCGAGGCCTCGCCTGATGAAGCCAGGAGATTACGGTCGCGGGTGGAACCTCCAAGAGACACACCGATTACTGGCAGTCGTGACGTGGCGCTTAGTCATGGAGCTATGGGGTGCTCTAGGCCCGCGCACGCCATTCCGACGAGGGCTCCGCCTTCCGCCCCGCGAGTGGATTTTTCAGCTTCCGCCGGTTCTTCCGCGGGAGCTTCTGCTGCGGTTTCCGTTCCTTCCGCTAGCAGCGCGGAGTGGTCGCTGAAGCGCAGATCTATCGGCGCGCTTCAGTACGCGGACGAGTCACACAGCCGTGGCGCACGCCTGGGGGCTGGCGGAGGGGAAGTGGGGATTGGCGGAAGTTCCAGCGGAAAGAGTGTTATGCGCGGTTGGGGGGGAAATGTGTTCGGGCAGCAGAAAGGGAGCCAGCAGCCGTCAGAAACGACAGACGGGCAGACGAGAAGAGTGCCTGTGCCGAAATCTACTTATCACAGAGTTCCTGTTGCGGGAGAGGCTGTAACGGGGGAGTCTTCGCCAGGAGGAAATTCCTCGGGAATGGATTTGTCCAGATCTCGTTTGCCCAGCTGGGTCCGGGATTTGGAGGGCCTCTGGACGGGCGTGTTCGGGCAGCATGGGGTGGAAATTCTGAACGTGGCAGTACAGGGCGGGGAAATTATTGCAACGAAAATTGTTGGAGATCCCAATATTCCAGGGGGGCATGTCTCCTTCAAGGCTCGAATTGACTCTGTTCAAACTGCTGCGGATGAGAGTGAGCGGTGGAGTGAAGTGGTGGGGCAAGCAAGGAGTCTGATCCAGGGGCAAGGTCAAGCGGCAGATGGTGCTCTGGGACAACACCAGCCCCGGTACACGAACTTGTGAGTATCAGCGCTGCGTTGTCTGGGTTTGGATTCTTTTGGTTGCTATTTGCATCAGTGCCCATTCCTTGCTTGGTGCAATCCCAGTTGATCACTCTGTCTGTACCTTTTTAGGCATCTGCAGTGTGCCATTCCCTCTGCAACTGTGGCTCATGCGTGTCTGTTTCCTATCCTGCTGGATCTGATTCTTGGCAGATTGGAAGGGGAGGGGAGAATAGCAGACTACAATTTTAAGAACCCTCAGTGGGTGAATGGTGCCCTGCTGGTTGATTCAGCTGGACGTATGTCTTTCCTGTGGGAGGAAATGAACTTCCTCGTGCAGATGAAAAGGCTACATGTTGAGGAGCTTCTCTTCAACTCCTGAAGCCCTAAGTCAGTTGCAATATCCTGAGTACCACGAGTGCTCAGTACACATTTTTCCATCTCCATTGCGTGGAGGTGTTTGGTTGTACCATTTTTTAAAAAGCACGGTTCTCACTTCATTTAAACGGTCAAAGAATCATTGGTTTACATAAGAGTACCGGTAGATAACGTTTTTCGGACTTGATTCAATAACGAATTCTTCAATTGATGGTGCACGATGACGATACCATCGCAGAGGCTCTTGAAGCTCCACGACGCTCACACGAGTTTCAGGCAGCTTCGCAATAGGCAGCCCACCAACGCTGACGCCATTCAGGCTTGCACTGACGTAAGTTCCATCGCCACATCATCAGTGCTGTGCGACGTGGAACGACGTGCGGAAGTTGCCTGGGAACAACCATTCAGATCTCTGACGCGTCACCAGTTTTTACCAGCAGAGATCGCCTTGCTGGATATGGTGACGTCTTCAGAGGCCCGTGCGACGGATCGCCAGAAATCTACCCAAGTCGTCACAGCCGCAAGGGGAAACTGGGGATCTACATTTTGGAGAAGTCAGCAAATTACATGATTGGTCATCCTGCCCTGCTATTGCCGAAGGTGTTCTTTACCTGAAGACTCTGACGTTGCCCAACTCCCTAGCATTTAGACTCATCTGGAGGTCGTTTTGTGCTTGCTAGAGGAGCGTGCAGGCTGCGGCTGCAGTGTTTTTCGGCAATACCTGTACTTTCCACCTAGTTTCGATGGCGTCCGCCACTTTCGCCAGCATTTCTGCACCAACTTCCGCCGTCCTCAAGTGCGAAACTTCGGCGAGAAGGTCACTCAACGCCTCTACCTCCTTCGTGGCTCGGCGGCTTCCGTCCGTGAAGCTCCAATACCCGGCAGCCTCGAGAAGACCGAACCAGATCAACGCAATGTTCAGCGGAGGTATGGCCCGCCAAAAGATGACACAGTTTCCATTTCGGATGAGGATTGGTTCGATGCTGCCTCCTCGTTTGAGAATTCTCAGTAACACCCCGTCCGCATCACTCCTCTCACGTTCTCACGCGCATCTCCGCCTCCAAACAATCCGCGGCTGTTCGTTTCCTGCTTAAAACTGATTTTCTCTTCACGAGCTCGATGCTTTTGCCAGGTGAAGACGGCAAGACTGAAAAGAAGAAATTCATCACCCAAGAAGAAGAGCCCGATGAGTAAGTTTTCCTACCCAACAGATATGCTAAAAGGTATTCCCACCTCCCACCATGGAATGAATGACTTAAGATATGCTCAGAAGTGTCAATGTTGCCGAGCAGGTCCTAAAATTGTTTGTTCCGCTGCTGAACAGACGGACAGTGCCATTCGGAATCATGCAACACTTCTGAGTCGACTCAAAAGGTGACCTTGAGTCGACACAAAGGTCAGGTGGACAGTGTATGTAATCCTGCAAGAAATCACGAGGTATCCAACTTCCCTAACAGTCATTCATGCTCTTCGTGTTTTTCGCGCTCGTCTTGTTCTTGCCCATTCCCGCAGGTATTGGCAGACATCGTCTGAGAGGGAGGGAAAAGGGCCAATGAGCACAGTCCTTCCCTACATTGCCATTTTTGGGCTCCTGACACCCTTCATAATCCTAGGGATTGCCTTTGCCAATGGCTGGATTGATGTTCCAGCTAGGTAACTCCGCTTCAGCACCAACCTTGGATTCCAGGCTCGTCTAAGAAGAGCCTATCCATATTGTGTACATGTAAGGAGGGTGTACTGCATTGAATGGTTGTCATCGTGCATTGTCCCTGCACGACTTATTACAGCCTCCCAGACGGACTACGTGCATTCAATGATTGTAGGCGGATGATGCTGTATAGACGAACGTAGCCAGGCCGCCTGGCATACACCTGAGAGACGAGACCCGACATGATGATGAGCATATGACGACCAATCAGTGCATGTTAGAAATGGGTTGCGAGTGCCTACACCAATACTGATGTATAGCAACCGGACCTCGCATACCACTACGCTAAAAAAGCTTTGCAGTGACATCCCATGTGACAGTACACATAATGTGCATGGTGGTGAGCATGTTTTCACATGAGCATATTTAACTCAGTGGTCAGTGCGCCCATAGCCCCCCAAGCTCTGCACCTGTGGCCTTTCCACTAGGATCTTCTCAAGGGTAATCCCAGCAGGTACCCTCGGAATCGTTTTAGGCCACACTGAATTTTCAGGGTCGGTACACGAAGGCACCCTGAAAACACTCTGAAATTCAGGGTTGGTACTGTTTTTTAAACTAGTTAGCCCCGTTTTTTCAGATTCCAACACCGATTTTTCAGGGTCGGGACAGAAAAACACCCTGAAAATCAGCAAAATCAGGAAAAAAATCCTGAAATCTGAGGGGCGACATTCTCAACTCAACTCAGGGAAAATGGTGTATAAACGATGGCTACCAATAACGAGGATGTCCAAAGCTCTGCTTTATTTGTCTCAAGACCTTCACCACTTTCTGCTTATCAAACGTCAAAGGCTTCAGCCGGGCACCCTTCCCAAAAACAAGATAGTAATTCAAATCGCAGGCATGTGAAAGATGATGAAAGCAGGCGTTATCATACGTATCCGGGCGAATCTCCAGTACTGTACCGTTGGGCGGCATAAAGATCATATGGGACATCCCCGCCCCATGCCCAGCCACCAGAAGACGGGCCTTGCTGAAAAGATCACGAGCTGGCAAAGGGGAAAGTCAGAGAGAAAAAGACGAGGAATGAACAGAAAGGGAGGAGTGGGGGGAAAGAGGGGGTGGGAGTGGGGGGAGAAACAGAAGGTGGGGCAAGCTGTTGCCAGGAAAAACCTTAGACAAATGGAGGAAAGAACTGACGTTACCTCCATTTTTCCCAATGGAGGCATGGACTGCACTTGGCAAGTACTTGAACTTACTGTCATAGACACTCTGAGTGCCGTTGAATATTCGGACTCTGCCCGCCCCGAAAAGTTTCTCCACTGCCCCCAGCAGCTGCCCGAACTGCTTCATCGTCCTGCCCTTGGCCCCAAGCCGCTGCACCACCACCACAATCCAATCCCTGGGCAGCGGAAAAACCTTCGACAAATTTCCCCGCCCTCCGAATCCCACGCTTGCATTACCCAGCCCGTCAGCAGGGCTGCCTGAGAAAATCTCTGAAGAATCACCACCATGTGGCACGCTGCGCAGCTGCCACCTGTCACTATAAAAGTACGGTAACCCATTAGGAAGCAGGAGGTGATTGTAACGAAGGGTGCGCCAGATGGCAGGAGAGGGATTCCCACAGCTCTGGTAGAGCGGCAGGTAAAGCTCCCCCACATGGAAGAGATCGCCCTCGGGAATGGCTAGACGGCGCATGGCTTTGGTTCTGACTCCGACAAAGTATTGGATGGTGCGATGGTAGAAGCGCCACTGAAAAGGGAGGGGAAGGGGATTTTAAAAGAAAAGGTAGGGGAATCAAGTCACAGGCAAGGTGCATTCATTCCAGCAGCCCTGGTAGAGCGGCTGGTCGAGCTCCTCTATGTTGAAGAGATCGCCCTCGGGGATGGCTAGGCGTCTCATTGCTCTGGTGCTGACCCCACTAGTTGCTGGATGGTGCGATGGTAGAAGCGCCACTGGGGAGAGATTTAGGAGAGAGAGAGTGGGAAAAGGTGGGGGGTTGAGGGGAGACGGGGGCGAGGGGGGTTCAAATGCAGAAATTTTCATTGCAGACTCCTTACACTTCCGGTGCTGATCCCCACTAGGTGTTGGATGGCGCGCTGGTAGAAGCACCACTGGGAAAATAAGGGAGAGAAGCAATAGAAAACAAGGGATAGTGCGTGGTTAAGTAGTTAAGTTTTGAGACATCTCAGAACAGACCTGAATTACTTAACCCGGGAAAAGGACTGGGGAGAAGAAGGGATGAAGCCAGAGTGGGGAAAGGGAAAAGAGGGGGGGAAGGGGGAGGGGGAAGAGGGGGGGAAGGGGGAGGGGGAAGAGGGGGGAAGGGGGAGGGGGAAGAGGGGGGAAGGGGGAGGGGGAAGAGGGGGGAAGGGGGAGGGGGAAGAGGGGGGAAGGGGAGGGAAGGGGGAGGGGGAAGAGGGGGGAAGGGGGAGGGGGAAGAGGGGGGGAAGGGGGAGGGAAGGGGGAGGGGGAAGAGGGGGGGAAGGGGAGGGGGAAGAGGGGGGAAGATGAGCCGCTGCATCATTAGAATCGAAAGGAGCATGTGATAGAAAGGTTGGAAGTCGGTATGTGCCTACACTTTTATCCCACCTGTGACGGGCGTGCTAGAAGAGCGGGATGCCAGGGTGAGCAGCGAGCACGGCTTGCAGAATATAGAAGGCTGGCTGCCACTCGATGAAACCGTGGTAGAAGGCCGGACACAGCGCACTTGCTTACCTGGAAAACCAAGGCTAGCAGTGGGGTGTCGCGGTGAGCAGCGAGGACAGCTCAATGAAGCCAGTGGCGGTAGGCTGTACACCAATATATACAGCTGCCTGTTGCACAAGTCATTCAACTCACCTGGGAGGGGCAGGTCCGAGAAGACCCTACCTGGGAGGGCCGGGTCCGAGAAGACCCTACCTGGGAGGGCCGGGCTAGCAGGGGATGTCGGGGTGAGCAGCGAGCACGGCTCGCAGGATATAGAAGGTCGGCTGCCACTCGATGAAGCCGTGGTAGAAGGCGTCGGCCTGACGGTAGACGATGGATACGGCTCTCTGCACGTGGTGCACTCGGGTCTTTCTAGCCCCGAAAGAGAACTGGTGTGGGGGGGCAAAGAGGGGGAAAGGGGTGGAGGATAGGATACGGCTCTCTGCATGTGGTGCACTCGGGTCTTTCCCGCTTTGAAAGAGAACTGATTAGGAAGACAAGGGCACAGAGTAGAAGGCTGGCTGCCATTCGATGAAACCGTGGTAGAAAGCGTCGGCCTGGCGGAACACCAGAGAAATGGCCTATCCACATAATGCACTCGAGTCCTTCTGTCCTGAAAGAGAACTGGTGTGTTGGAAGGGAGGGAGAGTGGGAGGAGGAAGAGGGGGAAAAGGGTGGAGGGTGTAGCTGCCACTCGATGAAGCCGTGGTAGAAGGCGGCGGCCTGGCGGTAGACAAGGGATATAGCTCTGTGAACATAATGCACTCGAGTCACTCGAGTCACTCGAGTCAATCGAGTCAATGGAGTCAATCGAGTCAATCCGGCCCTGAAGGAAATCTGGAGGGAAGGGGAAGAGGGGGGAAGGCTGCCACTCGACAAAGCCGTGGTAGAAGGCGTCAGCCTGGCGGAGAGGCAGCAGAGAAATGGCTGTCTCAACATGGTGCACTTGAGTCTTCCCCCCTTGAAAGAGAACTGGTGGCGGGGAACGAGAGGGATCAGCGAGCGTGACATTAGGGTCGCTTTTGAGTCGACTCAAAAAGAGAGGGATCAGGGAGCGTGACAGTAAGGCCGGGTGCTATGACTCCAATGGTAGACATCAAGGCCGGGTGCCGGGTGCCAGATGCCTCTGCCGATCAATGATGACGAGGCGTCGGCCTGGCGATAGACGAGGGAGACTGCTTTGTCCGTAGGTGATGCGCCTAAGTGTGGCATGCCTTGAAAGAGAACTGGCTGCGGGGAAAGAGGGATGACAGACAGGGTGCATGACATGGCTCAAGCCTCACCGTTATATGCACATATGTGTTACATGTACCTACATATTATGTACGTTCATACAACTTACATTGAGGTGTCCGTTGCAGTCACCCTTGTTGAAGAGAGTGGTTGCATTGATAACGTTGCCATCGTTATTTATGGGCACATTCCCTTCAAGCCGTGTCGTTACATGGATAAACGTGTTACAAGTAAACACCTTTTATTTACACTTCTTACATTTAGATGTCCGTTGCAGTCGCCCTTGTTGAAGAGAGTGGTTGAGTTGAACACGTTGCCATCGTCGTTTATAAACACGTTACTCAGGCGAAACACCTGCAGGGCACGGGAAAGCGGGGGGGGGAGGAGGGGTTAACCTGCAGGGCACGGGAAAGCGGGGGGGGGAGGAGGGGTTAACCTGCAGGGCACGGGAAAGCGGGGGGGGAGGAGGGGTTAACCTGCAGGGCACGGGAAAGCGGGGGGGGGGAGGGGTTAACCTGCAGGGCACGGGAAAGCGGGGGGGGAGGAGGGGTTAACCTGCAGGGCACGGGAAAGCGGGGGGGGAGGAGGGGTTAACCTGCAGGGCACGGGAAAGCGGGGGGGGAGGAGGGGTTAACCTGCAGGGCACGGGAAAGCGGGGGGGGAGGAGGGGTTAAAGCGGGGGTGGAAGGAGGAGGCAAACACAGTTGAGCAAAGTGAGGAAAGGGGGGAGGGGAATGAGGAAAACGGAAGAAAAGAGGTATATCTTGACGCATGCAAGTGTATATGACATGCAAAAAAATACAAAAAATTGAATACACAATTATACAGAAACTCACCTGACAGGTCGCCTGATCGTGCCAGGGAAAGTCCGTGTAGTGGCTGCAGCTCGTGTACCTCCCAATGTGCCTTACCCTATGTTACATACCCGGAAAACGTAACACATAGGAGTAACTCACCTGATACGTGTAGTACATACGCAAAATAAAGAACGCAACACATAATTTAAAAGTGTTTTACCTGATAAGCCGCCTGGTCGTGCCAGTGAAAGTCCGTGTAATGGCTGCAGCTCGTGTCCCTTCCCTCCGGCCTGAGGTCCTTCACATTATCTATTTTCGGGCAGTTGACCGGAGTGGGCGGCTTAACATACCCCTCGTCCACTAATCCCTCGTTCCAGCAGGCTGAAATGTTGGGGAAAAGTTTTCCGCAGCTGCCTGAGAAGTCCGGGCAGGGTTTGCCGAAGCAGTTGAGGGAGAGGAGAGAGGTTTTTTGGCGCAGACCGTAGTTGAGATGGAGTATTTGCAGGTCGGAATAGTAAATGTCTCGATCTAAAGTGGTAATTTTATCTGCTGACTCGATGGCCCCGTCACCATAATCACTCTCGTTCGTGTCACTAGCATCACCACTAGCAGCAGCAGTGCCAGCAGCAGCAGCACCGGTAGCAGAGCCATTAGAAGCATTATTAGCAGCAGAACCAACAGAGTCAGCAGCAGCAGCAGCAGCAGCAGCAGCGGCGGCGGCGGCAGCAGCAGCATGTTTCCGAGCCTCAGCAGCGGCAGCTACGGCAGTAGCCACGGCACCGGGGCTGTGCATGCTGCTGACGTGGCTCAACTCCGCCTCCACCCCTCGTCCCGGGCTAAACGCCCATGTGACTGGGGAGGGGAGAGGGGAGGGGGAGGGGGGGGAGGGGATAGGAAATTTGGGAATAATGTGTGCACAAATCGCCTCGACCGAAGTCAATTTGGCGAACGCCCATGTCACTGTAGCGGGGGATGGGGAAGGGCGCGCGCGGGAGAGGGCGCAGCGGAATGCAGCGGAAGACACCTAAGGCGAGGGCAAGAGGCGCAATCGCGAGAGGCGCAAGCGCGAAAGGCGCCATCGCGAAAGGCGCAATCGCGGAAGGCGCAATCGCGGAAGGCGCAAATGCGAGAGAAGCAATCGCGAACGCAACCCATCGATCAGCACTGGAATAAAGCGCCTAGTAGCGCGTACATACTGTTCTTATGCGACGGCTATCAGCACTGGAATAAGAACCCACCGATTTGCACGGCGGTGAGGCAGCCTGCGACGAGGATGGCGAAGAGAACGAAGAGTATCGCACGAGGGCGTGGTAACCCGCGGCGAGGAGTGCGCGCTGTCGCGGGGCTGATTGGCGACGGGCGGTCGTCGTGCCACGTGTCATCGTCTCCCGATGGCATCCTCGCTACTAAGTGCTTCGCAACTAAGAGAGTCGGAGCGGAAATTACGTCTGTTGGGAAAGACAGGCAAGCACCATTTTGTGCGTGTGTGGGGAGAGGGAAGAGGGTGTAATTTTTCATAGCGTAGCCCTTACAAAAAAGGCGCCTCTGCATTCGACTAGTATCAGCCGCCAGCTTCAGTTTTTATTGTTTTTGATTGTGTTCCTCATGAGATGAAATTTGGAGGCAAGGATAGAGTTTTTATGTTTGAGACAGCAAACGTTTGTACACTCTGCTAAAACTTCGTCTGTGGAGTATGGGGGATGTTTATATTGGATATTTGGTAAGGAGGACTTTCTGACGCGCGGCTCGGCAGACCTTTTCAAATCAGCGCGGGAAATCTCAAGTCTGGCACCTGCCAGCAGATTCTCTGACCCATCAGCGTGCAGCCTCACACCCGTCGGGCAGAATGCAAACATTCGAAGCACAGCCTGCGGTAATGGACGAGGGCAGCAACAAATTTGAAAGTGGCGGCAAACTCTGCGGCAATCCCTGGGGGAAATTCACAAGGCATCTCGAAATCCCCGGAAAAAAGAAAGCTCGAGGTTTGGTTGGAAAATCTTGTATCTCAAAGCCTTCATGGAGAATTTCGCTGAAAGCAGCGGCAATCCCTGAGAGGAGCGAATGAGCTTCATTTGCGTCAGTGATGTAAGCATTAGTGATGTGCTGTTCGTGGACTGTGGTTCCCCATCAGTTGCGTGCCGAAATCACGGAGACCGATTCCCAAGGTGACGTGATCACTGCTCTCAGGAAGCATTTCGCGGAGATGCCCTCTCTTATCAGCTTGTAAGACGACCTCGAGCACGCTTCCTGCAAATCGTCAGGCCGATTCAGCTCAGCTACTCCTTAGTTCACCTCGGCTCTCCGGTTCGTCCTTCACGAAGAAAGGAACTGGGATTCCCGAGTTTGAATCGACGGTTGTGACGAATTCAGGAGTCAGCCTGGCGTGTGCATAACTCATTTTGATTCAGATAGCTCGCTGAGGTCTGGCTGTCTGATGCAGCGAGTCGTGTGAAAGCCGAATAGAAATCGTAAATAAATTTCCGTTGACAATCTCCTACGACTCCCACGTAGAACTACGAGATAGGCTAATTCAAGGAAAACCACTTGTGAAGGACCCTCAGTAGGCTACTACACACAACGGAGCCTGGGTTCGGGTTCCGCTACTTCGGCCAACAGTAGCCAGTTGTGGTGCCTTAGTTTTGTCGGTACGCCATGCTCTGATTTTCTGCCATCTAGCCGAATTGGTTCGGCTGCTTAGTCGTCTGCTGATTGATCGAAGCACGCGAGCATGGCGCAGCGGGCGGGCTGGTTTTCCTCGGAGCACAAGTCGAAGCATCTGCTCGCGACGATCAAGGAGAAGGATGGCGAGATCGACGGCCTTCAGAAGGCCATCGATTCCCTTAGAAAGGTACGACCGAATCCTTTCTGACTGCGAGAGTGTGACCAGGTGACTTGCGAGTCGACTCAAAAGTCCAATCAGAGATCGACGGCCTTCAGAAGGCCATCGATTCCCTTAGAAAGGTACGACCGGATCCTCGCGAGATTGTGACCAGGTGACTTGCGAGTCGACTCAAACGTCAAGCCAGAGATGGGAAAGGTGCAACCGGATCAGAAGGCCATCGCATCTCTTCGAAAGGTGCAACCGGATCCTCGCGAGATTGTGACCAGGTGACAAATCAGCGTTCCAAAAATAGCGATTCTACTTGGAAAGCAAAACAGCCTGTTTAGAACAGTGAATGAACAGCGTTCAGAAGATTATTGATCAGAAGATTATTGATCAGCGTTCAGCGTGCAGCGGCTTTTTCTTTAATTTTCTAAAGAAATTACGACGTTGATTACTGAAAGAGATTGCGACCTTCCCATTGCACTGACTGCTTGCCACATGTGGCGCTGTTGTTTCAGGAGCTGGAGAATGAGAGGACCGACAAACATTCCATGACGCTGGTAAGAACCTCCTTCCCGTCGGCCTCCTTCGTTCCCTCCCACCTCTTCTCTCCGGCTTCGTTGCTCCCGCTTTCCGTTACCGCTTCCTCCTTCCTCCGGGTTGTCCTCTACAATTTCACGCCAGCATTTCACAATCCGATATCACAAACATTAATTTGTTCATCTTGATTCACCGTCTTCTTTGCAGGACTTCAAGCGGCTAGCCGACACGGTGAAGCAGCTTCATCAAGACTCAACCGTCAGAACCAAAGTAAGCCAATTCTAGAGAAGAAACCTCCATGTTTCATCTGCTAATTTTTTTTCGACAGTTCTGAAAAGTATTGTCCGTCGTGACTCAACCATCAGAGTGAAGAATTACCTGTCATCACCTGTCACCTGTCACATGTCACATGTCACCTCTCACCTGTCACCTGTCACATGTCACATGTCACCTCTCACCTGTCACCTGTCACATGTCACCTGTCACCTGTCACCTGTCATTACCTGTCATCACCTGTCACATGTCACATGTCACCTGTCACACGTCACCTGTCACCTGTCATTACCTGTCATCGCCTGATTCCTGCCAACACATGTTGCTAACTGTTGGGTCCGTAGGAGAGGGCGCCGATGGAGCGAGAGAGAAGGTGCGGCTGCAAGGTTAGCTTCACAAAGCGGACAGAGACTCGCACGCTCCCGTTATCTCATCGCTCTAATGCCCGCCCCGGCCATGACTCTATTTGCGTTGTTACTCCCCGGGAGACTTTTGAGTCGAATCTTTGGTCACCCCGTTAAATCATCGCTCTAATGCCCGCCCCGGCCATGACTTTCCGCGTTGTTACTCCCCGGGAGACTTTTGAGCCGACTCTTTGGTCTCCCCGTGGTCCTCGTCGCTCCAATGCATGCTCCGGCCGTCACTGTTTGCGTTGCCATTGTCAGGAGAAGGCATCAATGGAGCGGGAGAGGGTGCGGCTGCAGGAGCAGGTGCACATTGCGGACAGGGAGTCGCACACTCTCATCTGGCTCATTGGTCAAAGCCTCTTCTCCTGCCTTGTGATTCCCCAGGAGAAGGCGTCGATGGAGCGGGAGAGGGTGCGGCTGCAGGAGCAGGTGCGCAAAGCGGACAGGGACCAACACGCTCTGTCTCATTGGCTCGTCGCTCACGCCCCCTGCTCCTGCCTTCACTGTCTTGTAATTCCTCAGGAGAAGGCGTCCATGGAGCGCGAGAGGGTGCGGCTGCAGGAGCAGGTGCGCAAGGCGGACAGGGACTCGCACGCGTTGCGAGGGAGAGTGGGCGAGTTGGAGGAGCAGTTGCAGGCGCAGGAGAGGGAGCTACAGGAAGCAACTTACCGCATGGAAAAGGTAAGGCAAGGGGCAGGTGGGACATGGGGCAGGGAGGAGAGCAGAGGCATGCATGGAGCAGATGAGAGGTTTGAGGGAGAGTGGGCGAGTTGGAGGAGCAGGTGCAGGCGCAGGAGCGGGAGGTACAAGAGGCCACGCACCGCATGGAAAAGGCACGAGCAACGAGCATAAGTTCCATGGCCGCGTCTCTACCGAGTACGTCCGGTCGTTCAGTTCGGTCGTTCAGTTCGGTCGTTCAGTTCGGTCGTTCGGTTCGGTCGTTCAGTTCGGTCGTTCGGTTCGGTCGTTCAGATTGGTCGTTTAGTTCGGTCGTTCGGTTGAAGAATCGGCGGTATGGATCGTAGTAACCCCGTATCTGCTGCCCATCTTACGTCGCTGTGCAGGCTGTGCGCGAGGAGGAGCGGAAAAGCGTGGAGATTCAACGACGGTTGGGGGAGGAGTACCAAGCGGCCATGGACGGACAGAACCGGCTGCAGGCAATGTGAGTGGCAGTTAGAGTTCTGAGTTCAGGATTTCAAACCGCCATGCCAGCGTTTCGAGGCCGCCTGCCTGCTACCAGGTGCCTATGCATTGTGCTCACGGGTTCTGTTTGTTCAACGATATCTCGGTTGTGTGCCAGGCTGGAGGATCAGGGAAAGCGGGTGGATGGGCGGACAGGATTGTGCTGAACTTTGCCTCTATTGCCTCTTTTCATTCAATCACCTCGATTATCTTTGCCGTGTGCCAGGCTGGAGGACCAAGGCAAGCGGGTAGATGAGCTGACAGCGCTGCTGAGCCAGAAGGGGCTGGAGTGCAAGGAGTTTTCACAGAAGCTGATCTCGGCTAAGGAAGGTGAGAGAGTGTTCAATGCAGAACCTGTTTGGAGCACAGGAAGGGTAGATGATCTGACAACGCTGCTGAGCCAGAAGGGGCTGGAGTGCAAGGAGTTTTCACAAAAGCTGATTTCGGCCACGGAAGGTGAGGGACAAGGGTGTAGACCTGGTAAAAGCACAGCACGGGTGGACGGGCTGACAGCGCTGCTGAGCCAGAAGGGGCTGGAGTGCAAGCAGTTTTCACAGAAGCTGATCTCGGCCAAGGAAGGTGAGGGACAGGACGGATGGCATACCTAGCCTTTGGCCTTGGTGATTCTTAGCAGCGAACAATGTCCTGTGCGTTGCGTTTTGTCGTAAACCTGACCAGCCTTCACCAGATTTTTATTTCGAGCTGCCCTTCCCCTTACCCCCCGGCGAGCCTTTCCTTTCCTCCTGATCCACCCCGGCAGAGAATAGCAAGCTGAGGCGGCGGCTCAAGGCTGCCATGGCCCAGGGCTGCGACCCAGGCTCGGCAGGCTCGGACCTGAAGGAGGCTCTGGCTCGGGTGGAGAGGCAACTGCTGGAGAAGAAGCAGGAGGTGGAGGTGGCGGAGGCAGTAAATGAGGAACTGAAGGAACAGGTGCGTGGGAATGGGAGGTAAAGGAGGGGTTTGCAGGCTTGTGGGCGTGGGAAGGTGGCAGGGAGGTTTGCAGGTAGATGGGAGAGGCTTTGGGTCGGGAGAGAGGCAGGTGCCGGAGAAGAAGCAGAGGAGGCCGAGGTGGCGCAGGCTTTGAATGCGGAGCTGAAGGTACAGGTGGGTGGGACTTAGACGTGGGTGCGAGGGAAAGGTTGGCAGAGTGGGTTGTCGGAGTACAGGTGGGTGGGCTTTAGACGTGTGCAGATGGCAAGTAGAGTACTGCTGCTCTGCTGATACAATTACCAGGGGCTTCAGCAGGCCTATCAGTTGATTCAGCAAACCTTTCAGGTGCTTCAGCAGGCTTGACCCCCTTTTCTCCAGGACAGCTGAGCCAGGAGGATCATCAGGTGGTTCTGCAACCCTTGACTTATTTCCTCTCTTTCTTTTCCCACGATCTCCAGGTGAAACACCTGACGGGGCGGCTGAGCCAGGAGGATCTTCAGGTGTTTCGGCAGTCGTTCAGGAGAGTGGCTGACGAGGCGAGGGGGCGCTTGGCAGCAGCGGAGCAGTGTATATCGGAGCAGGAGCAGAAGAGCAAGGCGCTGAGCCACGCAGCAGAAGCGCATATGGAGCTGGGGGAGCAGCTGCGGCAGGTAGAAGAGGAGTGTGGGAGGTGGAGGGAGATGGCAAGAGAGAGTGAGATGAGGGCCGATGGGGCGGAAGAGGCGCGTAGGCTTGCAGTGGAGCAGCTTGAAACGAGGATGAGAGCGTGGGAGATGGAGAAGGAGCAACTGGTTCTGAAATTGGGAGAGTTGGAGGGAGAGGAGGGTAACGAGGGAGGGGAGAGAGGGGAGGGGGGAGAGGGGAATACTGGGATGGGAGTTAGGGAGAGGCTGAAGAGGGCAGAGGAGGAGAGGGAGGAGATGAGGAGGCGACTAGAAGAGGCTCTAGAGGCGTGCTCTGAGAGCGAAGCCCTGGTGGATGCTATTGAGAAGTCAAGGGAGGGGCTTAAGCTAGAGGTGCAGGGGTTGATCGAGAGGAATAGGGAGATAGAGGGGGAGTTGGAGAGGGAGAGGGAAGGAGTGAGGGACAGAGTGAGGGAGGCGGAGGAGGCGGTGGGGGAGGCGCAGAGAGAGTGTGAGGAGGTGCGGAGGGCGATGGAGGAGGGGAGGAGGGCCGAGAGGGAGAGGGAGGAGGAGGTGGAAAGGCGAATGCAAGAACTGAGGGAGGAAGTAGAGAAGGCTGTGGAGGGGCGGGAGGCGGTGGAAGAGGAGGCGGAGTTGATAAAGCAGGAGTTGAATGTGGTGCAGAGGGAGCTGGTAGATGTGAAGGAGGAGCTGCTAGTAGCGAGACAGGAGGTGGAGGCGAAAGAGAGGGAGATAGAGGCGAAGGGAAGGGAAATAGAGGAGAAGGAGAGAGGGATAGATGCGTTTCAACAGCAGGTGGAGCAGGGGAGGGAGGCTGTGAGGCGGGCAGAGGCAGAAAAGGAGGAGATTGCTGAGAAGATTTCTCAGGAGATTTCTCAGGAGAGGGATGCTCAGGTCGAGAGGTTGGAGGAGCAGATCAGAGGGCTTGAGATAAAGGTGGAGAAGGAGAGGGAGCGAGTGGTGTGTGTGGAATTGGCACTGAGGAGGAAAGAGGAGGAGGTGCAGGAGGGCAGAGAGGAGAGGGAGGGGTTGGAGAGAGAGATTGAGAAAATGCTGGAGAAAGTGGAAGAGGCGGAGAAGGGGAGAGGGGAGGTGGAGGGTAGAGTGGCTGAGATGGAAGAGGAGAAGAGGAGGGGGGAGGAGGAGAGGGAGAGAGAGGTCCAAGCGTTGTCGGGAGAGGTGGAGAGGCTTCAGGAAGAGCTGGAGGGAGTGAGAGGACAGGTGGTAGGGGAAGGTGAGGTGAGGAGGCGACTGGAGACTGTAGAAGGGGAGTACGCGCGTTTGAGGATGGAACTTTCCACGAAAGTGAGGGAGTTAGCTACTGAGAAGGAGGTGAGGGAGGAGAAGGAGCGGAAGTTACGGGAAGTGAGTGAGGCTGCAGTGGTTGCGACTGAGGAGTGGAAGAAGGAGTTGGGAGAGGTGGAGAGGATGATGGGGGTGATGAGGGAGGAGCGGGAGGCGGTTCAGAGGGAGTGTGAGCAGTTGAGGGAGGAAGCAGAGGCACGGGAGGTGCAGGTGAGGCTGCTAGAGGGGGCGAGAGATGATGTGGTGGCTGCGATGGCGGGGATTAGGGATGAAAAGAAAAGGGCGGAAAAAGAGATGGAGGAGAGAATTGAGGGTTTGAGGGGAGAGGTTAGGGAGGCGGAGGGCAAATTGGAGGCAGAGAGGGAAGGGAGGGAGAGGGAGAGGAAGGAGAGGGAGGAGGAGAGAGTGAGGGTGGAGGAGGAAAGGGAGAGGATGGAGGAGGCGAAGGGGAGGAGGGAGGAGGAGAGGAGGCTGTGGGAGGAGGAGGTGTGCGCGGCGAGAGAGGCAGCAGAGGAGGCGGAGGGGAAGGCGAGCGCGGCGAGGGACTTAGTGGATGAGCTACAGAGAGAGGTAGAGGCGCTTCAAGGCGAGGTGGAGACGCTTCAGGGGGAAATAGAGGGGCTGAGGCAGCAGGGGGAGGGGCAGGGGCAGGGGCAGCAGCAGCCGCAGCAGCAGCAGCAGGGGCAGGAGAATGGGCAAGATGCAAGGGAAATGATTGAGCTGGTGAGCAGCAGTATATGAAGGATACTTCTGAGTCAACCCGTGATCTTGTTTCGAGCCAACCCTCGTTTCCCTCACCATCTTCCTTCCCTCCTCCTCCCCCCCCCCCCTTTTGTATCAAACAGGTGGAGGAGCTCAAGGAGCAGCTGCGGGAGGCGGAAGAGGCGCTGAGCACGGACGAAACTCTCCAGTTGACAAATCCCCTTCTCCTCTCCCATCCTCCCCCGATCATTCCCCATCCAACAGGTGGAGGAGCTCAAGGAGCAGCTGCGGGAGGCGGAAGAGGCGCTGAGCACGGACGAAACTCTCCAGTCGACAAATCCCCTTCTCCTCTCCCATCCTCCCCCGACCATTCCCCATCCACCAGGTGGAGGAGCTCAAGGAGCAGCTGCGGGAGGCGGAGGAGGCGCTCAGCATGAACGAGACGAACCTGTCGGCGTCTGACTGGGCCGTGCAGCAGCTCGCAGGGGAGCTGTCGACCGTGAAGCGGGTGAGTAGCGAGTTGTCCGTGAGTTGTCTGATCGAGAGCTGTGCGCCTGCCAGCACGAATGTCTGGCTGGTTGACTTGGACGTCTAACAGGGGGAATGGGAACACCTACCTCACTTGACAGCATGAATGAGACGAACCTGTCGGCGTCTGACTGGGCTGTGCAGCAGCTCGCTGGGGAGCTGTCGACCGTGAAGCGGGTGAGTGTGACTAGCCGGTTGACTGTGAGTTGTGTGGATGAGAGCTGTGTGACAGCTGGAATGGCACTCTGCAAGAGCACGAACAAGACGAACCTGTCGGCGTCTGACTGGGCCGTGCAGCGGCTGGCAGGGGAGCTGTCGACTGTGAAGGGGGTGAGTCTGAGTAGCTGGTTGACAGTGAGTTGCCCCGATGAGAGCGGTGTGACAGTTGGCATGGCATTCTGGTGCCAGCATGAACGAGACCAACCTATCGGCGTCTGACTGGGCAGGGGAGCTGTCGACCGTCAAGAGCGTGAGCGATGATGACGTGTCAGCTGCTAGACGGAATGGGCCGTCTGAGAGGTGTTTGATTGTTTTGGCAGCTGATTGACTGAGACGCTCCTGACGACTCAAGCAGCGTCAACCCACGCCTCATGACTAGACTCACCAACCTCCCCCCTGCTGTCCAACCGCACAGAAACTGGTGGAGAGGGAAAGGGGACTGACAGAGCTCCAGGACCGGCTATCTGTAGTGGGGCACGCGTTGGAGGAGAGGGAGAGGGACCTGGAACGGCTGGCAGCAGCGCTGCACGAAATTTTCCCCCCTTTCCCCCTCCCTGCCAACCGCACAGAAACTGGTGGAGAGGGAAAAGGAACTAACTGAGCTCCAGGACCCGCTGTCTCTTGTGGATCACGCGCTGGAGGAGAGGGAGAGGGACCTGGAACAGCTGGTGCACTGTATCTTACTCCTGTCATCCTGTGCTCCCCACCCCTTTCAATTGCACAGAAACTGGTTGAGAAGGAAAAGGAGCTGGTTGAACTGCAGGACCGGCTGTCTGTTGTGGAGCACGCGCTGGAGGAGAAGGAGAGGGACCTGGAACGGCTGGCAGCAGCGCTGCAGGAGGCCAACAAGAAGCGGTGGGCGCGGGCGCAGCAGATCAAACAGATGGAGATGGAAATGGCGGCGCTGAGGGCGCAGGTGCGGGGAGGAGGAGGAGAAGGAGGAGGAGGAGGGGTGGGTGGTCTTGGAAGGGAGGTTGAGCACGTACAGGAGGCAACGGGAGACGGGTCGGGAGATTTGGCAGGAATGATGCCGGATCAAGGGCAGGGGCAGGGGCAGGGGCAGGGGCAGGGGCAGGGGCAGGGGCAGCAAGAGGAGGGGCTCGAAGGGAGGAATGCTGCTCAAGTGGTAGAAATGAGAGGAAAGGAGGTGGAGGAGAGGTTAGGAGAAGCGGAGAGGGAGCTCTTGGAGGCAAGGGAGGCGGTGCAGCGGTTGTTGTTTGAGGTGGAAGAGGGGAGGAGGGAGGTGGAGGAGGGGAGGAAGAGAGAGGAGGGTTGAGGGGGAGGTGGAGGAGGGTAGGGAGAGAGTGAGGGAGGCTGAGGGACTCCAGAGAGAGGCTGAGAGGCGAGTGGGTGAGCTGGAAAACGAGCTGGACAGCTTTAAGGGGAAAATGGAGGGCAACGGGGAGCAAGAGGAGGAGAGAGCGAGGGCGGCGGAGGAGAGGGTTAGGGAGGCTGAGAGGCGAGTGGATGACTTGGAGAGGGAGTTGAGTGAAGTGAAGAGAGAGATGGGGAGGAAGGGGGACGAGGAGGAGGAGAGAGTGAGGGAGGGTGAGGGGCGAGTGAGGGAGCTGGAGGGGGAGTTGAGTGAAGTGAAGAAGGAATTGGGAAGGAAGGAGGAGGAGCTTCAGGAAATGGTCAGGAGGGAAAGGGAGAGGAGGGAGGCCGTGGAAGCAGCAGCTATGGACCCTGGCACCGCCCCTGGTAGTCCTGCTCCTGGTGTTGCTGCTGCTGCTGCTGCTCTATGTGCTGCTTGCAGTGGTGCTGCCAGTGCTGCTTGTGCTGCTGCTGGTGCTGGTGCTGGTGCGTGGAGCATTGGGGAGGAGGGGCGCATATGGGAGATCCGAGCCAAGCAGCTGGAGAAGGCAGTGGAGCGGTGGAAGGAGTTTGAAGCCGCAGCGAGGCGGGAGGCCAAGTCCCGCAGGGAAGAGCTGGAGCTGAATAGCAGACTGCTGACCGATGCTGTGAGCCTCAATGACGAAAACGAGGTAACCCTAAAGCGGTTACGCGACGAAGTGAGGACGTTACGGGAGAAGCTGGAGGGTGTTGAGGCGGCGAGGGAAAAGGAGAGGAGAGGAGGAGGAGGAGGAAGAGGAGAGGGGTATGGGATGGGAGGAGGAGGGGTGGGAGCAGCAGGGCAGGGAGGGTGGGAGGGCGAGGTAGGTAGGCTTCGAGAGGAGGTTAAGGGGCTGAGGGCCAAGCTGAGAGTGGCGGAGATGGAGTGGGAGAGTGAGAGGGCGCAGAAGGTGCGGGCTGAGGAGGCGTTAGCCAAGTACAGGAGGAAGCTGAGTGAGCGAGAGGAGGAGCTACATGACGCTATGGATAGGCTGGCAGCAGCTGCTGCCGCTGCTGCTGCTGCTGATGGTGGTGATAATGGTGGTGCTGGTGGTGCTAGGGGGTTTGGAGCAGGAAGGGAGGTTGGGGGATACAGTGAAGAGGCAGCAGAGATGGCTTTGCTTCAAGACAAGGTTCTGGCTCTTGAAAGGTGAGTTCCTGGATTTGCTTATAATGGGTACAGCGTCTCTGGACGGGGAGGGAGTTGTTTATGTGTAAGCATGTGTTTGTGCACGATTTTGTTCCACTTCCATGTTTGTATGGGGAAGGGGACTGCCCATGTGCATGTGTTTGATGATGACCATACTTCATTCTTCCACAAAGAGAGAAGTCTGAGCACCACATTCCCAAACTACGCCTTATGCCTCCCCTGTCCCTATCTTTGTCTCCCCGCAGGGAGAAAACCGAGCTACGTTCCAAGCTGGAGAAGCAGCAGCAGCAGCAGCATGCAGACCGCCTTCCCACCGCCTCTTCAGCCCTCTTCCAAACACCCGCTAAGGCTGTTACAGCAAACCCCTTAGCTGTGGCAGCTGCAGCTGCTGCTATGGAGCGGAGGGATATGGCTGGTGGGCGGTTGGGAGACAGGTCTCCTGTTGCTTTTGGTGCTTTTGTCGCTCAAACCAAGTCCCCAACCCCTTTCAGCGCCCAAGCCAAGTCACCTGTGGGTTCGGCTGCTGGGGGGAAATCCCCTTGGAGGCGCCGGGTGGCTGAGAAGGTTCCTGGAAGCTCCCCTTGGAGGAGGAATCAGCAGGGTTTGGGTGGGGGGTTGTTGCGAACGTTGGCAGCTCTGGAGGGTGGGGGAGGCGGGAAGGGAGGGAGCATGGAGGGAAGGCAGGAGGAGAAGCAGGAGGAGAAGCAGGAGGAGAAGCAGGAGGAGGAGGGGAAGATGGGGGTGAGTGAGGGGAAGAACAGAATGCAGCAAGAGGAAGAGCAGACGGAGGTGCAGGCGAAGGGGCAGGAAGAGAAGACACCGAAGAAAGACCGGAAGCAGGAGGAGCAAGAGCAGGCGCAGGAGCAAGAGCATGGTAGTGGCGATTTAGAAATGGTGAGATGCGCATCTCTCTCCCCGTCGCCCTCCCAAAACATCATCCCAGCCAATGCCCTCCAGAAAGCAAGCTCGGAAAAGCACATGCGCCGGGCCAGGCGGCCGGCAGAGGGGCCGGATAACAGGGAGGAAAACGCCGTGTTTGAGAGTGAGGGTGAATCAGCTGCAGGATCATCACCAGCAGCAGGAGGGGGAGCAGCAGCAGCAGCAGCAGCAGTGGGAGCAGGGGTGAGGAGGGGCGGTATGGGTGATGGGAGAAGGAGCAGTGGGAGTCCCGTGGCTGGTGAGGGGAGTGCAGGGAAGGGTGTAGGGCGAGGTGGAAGTGGGAGTGTGGAGAGGAGGGGGGGACCTGATAGGGAGGGGGAGGCGGAGGATGATTCGCCTACCAAGCGAGTGAGACTGTCCATGCTGAGATGATACTGTAGAGCTGAGATGAAACAGTGGAGCAGGTGACGAAACTGTGTCGATTGTGGGAGAGGTGACTTTTGAGGCGCCTCAAGAGTGATTGGCAGTCGCCACTGATTTCGGGAGGGGAAATGAGTGATGCTTGTAAAATTTGGGTTGGGATATTCCAACCCTGAGAGTGTAGGCACAGGGTAGACCAGGAATTGAAGAAGGGTGGCGGACTTAGGGAGTCGCATTCTTTCCCAGTCTAGGTAGTATTTATGACAGTACAAGCCTACAAGGCCTACAGTATCTGTCTCGATGAAATCAGATCCTTTCTGATTTTATGAGAGTACATTGATATATGCTGATTAATTTGTGTGGAAAAGGTGTACACACTCTTTTATTATGTCTCTGATTGTTATTTTGCAATGCCAATACACATATATGTATATGTTATTATAGGCTAGATAGGTGCGTGCTCTTAGAGAGTACAACCCCTCAGCACAAAACCACCCTATATCTCACATTCTAGTTCAATTCGTTACTCTGAGATGGTATCATTCTAGGTCAGGTCCTCCCCGCCCACCCACGCTTCCGCCCTAGTCCTAGCCCTAGCCCTAGCCGCCCGTCGCTAGCCGCCCGTTCCTAACCACCCATCGCTAGCCGCCTCTGCTAGCCGCTCGCCGCTCACCGCTGCTGGCCGCCCGTCGGCCCTAGCTCGCCAGCCCCTGCTCGCCCACTGGCCCCGCGCTCGCCCGCTGGCCCCGCTGCTCGCCGGCCCTAGCGTGCCAGCCCCTTGCTCGCCGGCCCTTGACTCGCTGGCCCCGGGCTCGCCGACCCCATGCTCGCCGGCCCCTAGCTCGCCGGCCCCTCGCTTGCCGCCCCCCTGCTCGCCGGCCCCCCTCGTACCGGCCCCGCGCTCACGCCGACCCCAGCTGCGCATCCCCAGCTGCGCCGACCCCAGCTTTGCCGGCCCCTGCCCGCGCCGGCCCTAGCTCCTGCCGAGCCGCGCCGCCGTGTCGCCGAACCGCCGAGCTGCAGTGCCGCCGTGTCGCTGAGCCGCCGAGCCGCCCTGCCGCCCTGACCCGCCGGCCTTGGCTCCCCTCTGAGCCGGCGCCGGCTTTGGCTCCCCTCTGAGCCGGTGCTCCCGTTCAATGACACCAACCTAGAAGTGCAGGGGATCCACGCCATCCGATGGCTCTCTCGCGGTGAGGCGATCCTCCGTCTTCTTGCTGTGCTACCAGCTGTGTTGGTCATGGTCACGTAGCTTAGGAACGCAAAGTTGCTGGCCAATGTTTGGAGCTATCGTTTCAGGTTCTTTCTGCACTTTCTGGCTGATGTGCTTGAGCAGCTCAACATCCTCAACAAGGTCTTCCAGCAGCGGGAGGTACGTCTTTCACAAGCATGTGCATTGTGTTGTCTTGTCTGTTATTCCCCCCCACCCCACCTCGCCCCGTGATCACCTCTCCTAACTAATTCTCCTTCTTCGATTTCTGTTGTATCTGCTGCAGGTTGACCGATAAGAACCCCTGTTTCTGCTTCACTGCTACTTTGCTGCTCGGCTTCCTCTGCTTCACTGCTGTAGCTGCTGGGTCCCCAAGGTACTTCAGGTTTGTTGTTGAGTTGTTGTAAAGTGTCATAATAGTTCCGCCATGATGATGTGTTTGTTGGCCAGGAATCAAGAGCCGTTATAACCCCTGCGGCTGTACGAGATCCCGTTGGAACTGCAGTTGCACGGAAGTCGATTTCAACCTTTTGAAAACCAGTCTCTTCAGGATGTTGCCAAGGTCCAAGAGATAACACTCTGTCAGAATCTCCAGAAGTGCCTTGCGACTCGAATTGAAAACGGAGACGCCATACTGAGTGGCAGCTCTCCTGATGTAAGTATTGGTATCGTTGTGGTAAAGTTCCTGGTCCATGGTCTCACAATTGCCTTGTGTCCTGATCATATGTCGCAGGAGTTGAGCCTGTGAAAGAAGATTAAATCTGAGTCCAGCGATGATAAGGATGTTCGTAACATGTAAGGAAAAACCAGTGTCAACAGAATCCAGCATGACGCTGCCGATAGATCTTGCCATGATTGTTTGTCAGTTTGCAACCGTGACAGGTAGAGGACGTCGAAGAGGACGCTGATGAGTGATGAAGAGCGTCTCGACAGAGCACATGTGTTGACCACAACAACTGTCAAGATACCAAGTGTTTGGTCCTGCAATAACCCGAGCGAGATTAGCATAAACCTGAGGTAAGATCATGTTCTTAGGTTGCTCGATGGAACTTTCTTCCTCCTCATCGTCGAAATCTGAATCTGTTGCATGAACTGTTGTAACACAACTGAAGACTTGTTTTCCGGATGTGGCAGGAGTTGTTGGTGGATTCTTCTTCACGGGTTGCTTGAACTACTGCGTCTGCTGCTGCGCTCCTCTTTTCTTATCAGCCTGAAGCTTGTTGCAATATTTGATGCTGTGTCCTTCCTTTTTGCAATAGTGACAGAAGAACTTGTTGACACGTTTTGCAGGCGTTGAATAGAAACTGATATTAACTGCTCCTTTTTTGTTACGTGATGTTTGCAGGTCAAGGTCCAGGTGCTCAGCTAGAAGAATCGAACAAATTTTGGCTTCGGAAAAAAATGGTTGAATGCGAAGAAGAGATCGACACTGCTGCAATTCTGCTCCAAGGCCGACAGGAAGAACTGTTACAAACATGTCCTTTGGGAAGTATTGGCCGCATTTTTTCAGTTGGTCACGAAGTGTACGAGCCCTGTTGATATAATCCAAAACGTTCTCGTTGCCCTGTATCTGTACAGTTGTCAGTTGTGAGAGAATTTTACTCATGGAAATGGTGTCCTGTGCCATGTACAGCCCCTTCAAACGCTTCCACGCAAATTCGGCTAGAGTTAAGCTGGTGTGAAGCGAGCGTATACCGAGTTGCTCTTTCAGCGACAGATTGCGGACAAGAACTGTATAAGCTGTTGTATATTTCAGTAAAAGAAATCTGCTCATGCGGAAACTGTTGTTGCTGTTGCTGTTGTTGCTGTTGATTTTGCTGTTGTTACTGATCAATTGCGGCCTTTAGTGGTATGAGTATCGATGGCTCCAGTTATGCAAGAGCTGCAGCCGCTCCAAGGATGCTCAGCTTTTACTTTTGCGGGCACATATTTTTTGCTAACATTTCGAGACACCACTCCCACAGTCCCCCCTTCTAAGGAATTTCGGCTAAGTCCTCCAACGCAGAGGCATTCCTCCCACACCCCTCGCAACCTAGACATTTAAGAGAAGTCCCCACAACCAGAGACATCCTTGTCAAACATATTGTGTATCTTTCAGAGCTGTGCTCCCTCCCATTGCTCTTACTGTGACGTCTCTGCCGCTGTTGTTGAGACCGCCGCTGCGGCCTCAGTGTAGCTGCGTCTGAGTCGGGGCCGCCGCCCCAAGGGGGGGCATGGCGGAGGGAAGGGGGGTGGGGGTGGGGAGGGTGGAGGAGGTGGAGGCGGGGACGGTGGTTCGGCCGAGGGGACCGGGGCTGGTGCCCTGGAGCACCAGCAACAGCAGCTGCAGCCTCAGCAGCTGCAGTCGCAGCAGACTCAGCAGCACCTGCAACAGCCGCAGCAGCAGTCGCCGTGGTGGACTGGCGGCGCTGGTTGTGGTGGTCGTGGTGGTGGGGGGCGCAGCTTGGTGTCGGGTGGCGACTCAAGTGCAGTCACCTGTCAGTACCAGCTTCAGACTGGCCCTCGCCACGGCACCGTCTGCGACCATTCTGGCCATACCGCCGCCCGGACGACCTCTTCCGTCACCGATTCGGACCCTCCTGACTGGCACGCCCTGGCTTGCTGCCGTGTGCCTGTCTTTGAGCTTGAGATGGATCAGATTAGGACTGCTATGTCTGTCATGTATGTTGATGACTCTAGTGTGATTGAACCCTATTTCCCAGTGTTGCCTAGAGTAGGTGTGTCCCCTGTGTGTATTCTAGGCTCCCCTGCTGCGTCAGGCGTAAGACCCCCTGCCTTGTTTAGCTTAGGTTCGACGCTAGCCCCTCCGCCAGCTAGCGCTACACCCTCGCCCTCATTTACGCTCAACTCTGGTGCGTCCGCCTGCTTCTTTCATAACCACACTGCGCTCACGTCGTTTGCTGCCCCAGCCGCTGCCCTCGCTCACGTCCGTGCCTCTGGCATGGACAAGCTCACGGCCCACAATGTCCCCTGTTTCTTCCTTGGTTTCCCCCTTGACTCGTCTTCCTGGCACTTTTACCACCCGCCTTCTCACCACTTCTTTCACTCGAGTGACGTCACTGCTGACGAGCCTGTCTCCTTTTACCACCGCTTTCCCCACTGAGGTCTCCAAAGTTTCCCCTCCCATGTTTCTGGTTCCCTCTCCCCTGGTAGCCCGTGCTCCTCTCCCTCCCCGTCCTGCCCCGTTTGGTGTATCTCACGTAACTCCCTTACCGTCGGTAGTCCCGGTGGAGGAGTTGGCTGACTCCGGGGGCCCCATTGCTTCAGTTTCGCAACCTATCTTTGCCACAATGTCTCCTCGTCCGCCGTTGCCGCCGCCGCAGCAGCCGCCGTCGCCGCCGCCGCAGCAGCAGTAGCCGCCGCCGCCGCAGCCACAACTGCCGTAGGGATTCGCACATTCTGGGGGTGCTGGCGTTGAGGAGGCTGCTAGTCCCGGGGTTATGGTTGTGGCTTGTCCCGACAGTCTCGGGGGTGGCACCGGTGCTGGAGCGGGTTCTTGTCTGGGGGTGCTAGAGTGGAGCGTTCCGGAGATAGCCGTGGTGCAGCTGGAGGTTCTAGTGTCGGTATGGCGCAATAGCAGCAGTCACAGCAAGTGTCCCCCCATCGCCTCCTAGGTCTTCCCTCCCTTGACCGCCCGCCTGCGCCTACCCCCCCGCCGCGTCCTCTACTTGTCTACGGCCCTGTGTGTCCTCCGCCGGACTCGTCTTCGGCTCGTTTTCTCCCTCGTTCCCCTCCTCCCGTTGCCTTCACCGTCGTCACTTGTTGTCGCACTTCCTTCATGCCGCTAGTCCACTTGTTCCTCGGGGTCCTTGCCTCCCTTGTTACCAACCCGTCTGTTCCTGTCTCGAGTCTTGACGCGCTTGTCGCTGCCGTCGCTAACTTCGCCTCTACCTGCCGCCTTGATTACGTTACCGCTCTGGTCTCTGACCCTGCCCGTCCTTCGTCCGTCAAGGGTGCACCTGCCCTTGGCAGTGATGTCCTGGAGGACCGGCAGTATGAGCTTGCTTTCTGGTCCGAGGCCGCGCCTCATCTCTGCTCCATGCTACTGGTCCTTGAGGGGGACCCAAACGCCTTTAACATTCTGACCCCTCGCACTTACCCGGAGGCGACCTCGGGACTCCGGGCCTCTCAGTGGATAGCTGTCATGGACGCAGAGA